TCGCAAAAATAAACGAAAAGGTAGCCAATGGCTGTGTTCAGCATATATGGTAAAAACACACGGCTAATTATTCCTCAGATTATTAACACAGTTTAATCATACAGGCTGTATGTAAAAGTATTACCCTTAGCCTACATCCCCCGATTCCTTCGTAATTATTTATTCTTCTGTTGCATAAGTTAGCAGGATATTTAACGCATTTCACACTCAAACAGGTTTAAAGCTCTAAAATAGAGATCTTTTGCAGTTAAGAATAATGCTTCAAATTCCCAACAGATGACCTGAATGTGTAACATATAATAATGCACGATTACGAATTAGATGTCATACACTCCCGCTAAGTGTTGATCTGTAATAGTATAATAGTGTTCCATTAGCGGTTGTCGTCGCTGAAGGAGGAGAAGCTTACCCTTCCGGAACACCTGGTCTTATTCTCCCTGTGCCGTTTTTTGAGGTGTCTCCATGTAAATCTTTCTTTTTTTCATGTGTTGTCCTAGTTTTATTGATGTTGAATTTGAATCAAGGTTTTATTGACATTTCAGTACTCTTTGACTGACAGACAACATGCTTTAATGTGTTGAAATATGAATACAAAGCAAGGGGTAGGCAACTCTGTCATGGTTGGTGTTTATCTGAAGTCAACTAGAAGACGGCATGCATTGATTTTAATATAACAGGTTTGATATGTTTTGTGTCGTTGATGAAAAAGAAGGCGCTGCCCCTTCGGAACAAATTGCCTTGTTCTCCTTGTACAAGGGTCACAATGTATATAGTTCATTTGTTTATATTTTGCCATAGTTTTCTCGATGTTGAGTTGGTACTCTATATTCTTTTTTTCCCGAATGTGTTATTTACATAGGAATGCCAAGCAGATGATAGGCAATCCTGTTAGGTTGTTTTTCTCTTACCCAGCAGACGACATCCATTAATTTTAGACATACCACATATCTATTCAATCACCCAACACACTGCACTTGTATATGTCCTAATGTGGTGCTTGTCTTTCAATAAAAAAAAATCATCTGTTATAAATGTAAGTAAGGAATTGAATCCATGTTATCCATTACCAGTTCATTTTATTGTAATAAGATAATGACTAGACAGATAAGGCATAGGCATTGTGAATTAAAGTCCTTTCATATTAGATGAATGCAAGACACAGACATGTGATTGTAACTATAACATTTGGTAATAAATGCAGTGTATCAAAAATAACTCACACTCAATTATACAGCTGTTATTCCCTCTCAGACTTTTTGGTGATACTAGGGGCCATAATGGTGGAAATCAAAAATGGGCCTAATCTCCAGCTGAAACAGAAGGGGGTGTACCTCAACCTCCTGGTTACACAGATTTCTAAAATGACAGCAGTTCTGGTTAATTTCGATTTTATTATGAACAAAATGTGTATATTATGATCCGTGCCTATGCTCAAATGAGATAATGTGGCCATTAAGGTTACGACAACAAACCTTGGGAACGAAGAATTCCACCCGCGTATATTGAAAGATGAACGAAAGACACACACATGTGATAGAACACATAAAGTTTGGTAATTGATATAGTATGTGAAAAGCCAATTACACTGCATCACACAGCTGTTTCGGACTTTTTTATTCATTTATAATGTTAGTGGCCAAAATATTGAGAGAGAAAAAAATCAAAAAAATCTGCAGTGCATTATCAGACAAATCTTTAAGATCTTTGAGGCCAAGACTCTAGAGAGAACACATTCATTCAATTCAATACTAAGATTAGTATATCTCTAAGTAATGGTATTTATATCTAGTGATATTAGCAATATTATTAGTAAATAAGTGAAATAAAATACCTATTTCGGTTGCACATCTATAGCATCTGAAAAATTGATATTCATATTGAATTACCAAGCAAACGACAAGTACATTATAATGAAGTATTGACCTTTGATGACCCACAAAATGACAAGTAGTCGTGTTTGAAAGGTATTGATCGTTGAGTGTCAAGTTAATGACAGGCAGTCGGGTTCGTGTGGTATTTACCTTGATAATATTTCAAATAGATACAGACTTTCCCGGCAATACTCTGGGCATGCACTTATTGTCGCCTATGCACCATTTGCCTATAAATATAACTTTATCAGAAAACTTCTAATGCTATCTATGCTTCAACAAGGTGGACAAGATTGTTTTCTGTATAAATTCACCGTGCATCAATAAAAGTAATTGTATAGGGATCGTTTGAAGTCAATGTGCTAAAACAGCTTGCTTTTTTTTCGAATTGATGTAGGCGAAATTAAATACATTTTGATCTATGGTCCATGGAGTTTCTACATGTATGAAATTTCATTCGTCTTGTACAGTTAATCAAATCTGGGATATGAAGCCAATGTGTTATAAGGACACTTGTTAAAGCCTAAGAAATTGATTCTGTATGAATTGGTAGCAAAATTCTATTTAATCGTGTCTAATGGTCTTCGGGATTTCTTCTTATACAGTGTGTCGTTCATCTTGAGAAATTCATCATACAAAAAGTCTAAAGTGATAAGTTGTAAGGGTTAAGTTTTTAGTCTTTGTGCCAGAAAAATTGATAATGTCTGTTTTGTTAGAAATAAACTAAAGGCTTCATCGCATCATATGTTGATGGCATATGTATATACATTTTGTGACAATCAAGAAATGGTGACACTGGTGTTTTTTTTATAAATATTCATAATTATGAATTAATGGTTCGTGAATATCTAACTCTGGTTCTGCAATGTAATTTGTTTTTAAAATATGAAAAACTAAACAAAATTTGTTTTTCACAACAATTTCACTATTTATTGGATCCATAAACTTTTTTTAATGTTTGGTGATTGGTTTCGAAAATGGAGTCTTACACAATTAACCCAATGTGTTTTGACGTAGGACTCGGATAACGCTGATGAAGGATATATGTTCACGGTAGCAAGACCATAAATATAATATTCAATTCACCACGGTTGGTGTATTGCAAATAGCTAGATCAATTCTCAGGAAAAATTCCCAGCTGTTTATGTGAAAAGTTCTAAAAATTGATGTTATTATCTAATTAAATCAATGAAAACATTTCCCCTTGTCATGATTCCGAGTGTGGAACGTGTATCAAGGACAATTGATTAAGGTGATATACGAGGCGACAGCGTTTACTGAGGTAGTTGAAGAGTAAGAAAAATGCAATTGATTTTAATAATGTTCTTGTGATCAGTCAAGTAGAACAGTTCCACAGATATTGTATCACGATTTTTGCTGTTTTCTATTTAAAAAAGGGAGTTCCAGATTTAAAGACATAAATATGTATTATACATGTAACTATAAAAAATAAACACAGCCCTGTGTGTATATCCGTAACGGTGAGATGCGTATAACTAACATTCGATTAATAGGTCCCTCTATCCCTTTGAATTAATTTTCGAACTAAATAGAGATCAACCCGACGACTCGCAGATTCTCTCTCGACGCTGCAACTCCTAATCACGTTGTATAATGCTCGGGCATCTCTATGGAACGCGTCATCTTACGGACATTTGTAGAACATAATCGTACAATCATTATACATAGTTGCCATGTTTTACATGACAGGTATGTTTTGTTACACACAGGGTTGTGCATTTGTTACACATAAGGTTGTTTTTGTTACACAAAGGGTTGTGTTTTGTTACCAAAGGGTTGTTTTTGTTACACATTGGGTTGTGTTTAGTTACCCAGGGGTTGTTTTTGTTACACATATGGTTGTTTTTGTTACACATAGGGTTGTGATTTGTTACCCAGGGGTTGTTTTTGTTACACAAAGGGATGTTGTTTCGCATAGGGTTGTGCATTCTGTTACACAAAGTTATGTATTTTTATCTTAATTTTCGTTGCACATATGCGGTATTTGCAACAAATAGTTTTTGTTTATAAAATATATGATAAAATGTAAAAATGCTTTGTCGTTGCTAAATGACATCCCATTCGCCAGAGTGTTGCTTATTCCAACTGTTTCACCATCCACAATGGATGCAAACTTATCATGACAGCAAATATTATTATAACCCGTACTATATATCAAGTATATACATATTACAGGTAAAGTACACACTTTGACTTTGTTGATCTGGATGTTCCCTGTGATGGACGAATTTATACCTTATTATTAGCACAGAAGAAGGTCAATATATTCTGCAAAGTAATGCAGTTGGATACAGAAGTCAAACTTTGTTTAACATCCTTTTCAAACGTCAATCACGAGAAATCGTATATCAGTGTATATTAATCCGTACATTGGCCCGGATGGTAGCGCCTAAAGGTGTGTAAGTGTGGGAGGACACCGAAGTACCCGGAGAAATCCCACATAGTCTGGTAGCTGACTCCATACCTATCTACATCTGATCGGTGAATTGAGCACCTGTCGCCTTTGTGAAAGGCGAATGCGCTATCCACTTCGCCACCCGATCACCCATATCTCTGAAGTAGTTTTTAGTTATGATAAGATTGTGTTGATGTTGTTGTGTACATTGATGGCTATATTAGGACTTTAACAAATCAATTCAACGGGTTTTTTTATTATAAGGAATAGTTTGATAAGTTCTGTCAAGATTTCAAACACACAGCAGGAGCAGCAGTATATACATTTTTTTAAATCACATTTGTTTTCTCATACGTCACGCAAGCAATTGAGTCTCGGCTCGGATGACAAGTATACAACAAGAATAACGCATGCGCTAAGCATGTCACGCATACTGATCTCAAACCAGGTGTCAAGAAAACTTGTCATCTTACATATTGAATTATGACTTGATGTTTTTTCGTGAGACAAATTGCTAAGTTTCTTCATATTTTAACTTGGTTATCACATTCAATGTATAGAACATTAAATCTAACAATAATTTAGCAATCCTTGTACTTTCGATGCAAATCATAATATATAAATGAACAAAACTTACTATGCATCAATTTCTTATTGATACACCTGTCAATCACATATGTACAAAACATCCCATTTCGGCTCGCTTTCTTAAGAAAGATGCATTGTGCTTTAACAGTGTTACTGTGATTTGTTACGGAATTTAAAATCTAAAAATACAGCATTTAGTCCTCACAAAGCTATGATTAGTTTCGACACACGTCACGCAAGTTTGCTATAAAAATGACCCCGCCACCCTAAACGAATCACTTACGTCTGGTAGGGCACAGACGGAGGACACAAGGAACCCCAAACCGTAAGTACTGTGGTAGCTAGGTGTTAGTACATTCGGTTAATTTTATCATTTCAAACAATATTCCTTTGATTTATCCATGCTGTTTTCATTACACGATTAGTTACGTTTAAGAAGATTTTATTGCATATTACAACAAAAGGATTAGGTTCAAGTTATCACAACTTATTTATGCCTTTTCCTGATTGACTTATAAAACAATCCATGATACCGCAATAGTCTAGCCGTAAATATAATTGAACACATTTCCTGAAACAGAGGGTAAAACCGTTAGGGGCATGGACATGGAAGTTACACGATTGTCGATACCTGTCTCGAATGTCGACAAATACACCTTACTTTAATTATTAATTATTGGTTAGCTTCATGCGTTTTCCAGAAGGATAGTCACCTGTGTGTTGTTTCGTTCATCTTTCAACATACAAGGTGGTAGACTCTGCTGAATGATTCTTTAGTCCCCGAGGTCTGCTGTAACATTGCTGGCAACATTCTTTTGAGTAGTGGCAAGGTTCATACTATACGCAATTAACAGATCATTCAAATTTAAATTAGTCAGTATTCTTCTACATTTTAAAATTCATAAATAAAATAAATACTCACCTGCCCCTCTTTTTCAACAGATGGTAAGACAATTTGGATTTCCAATTCTTTTGGCACCGATGAGTCCTAAAAGGACGAAACAGCTGTATGATACAGTGTAATTCATCTTTTGTATACTGTATTTAATACCAACTTAAAAAGGTTCAGTCAACCGTCTGTGTATTACGTTCTTTTTCCATCCTAGCAACAAATTACATGTATCATTATGGATTATAAAATATGTTTAGTTTCACCGGTGCATCAAAGATTTGTCAGGCTTTTGCTTTCAAAATTGAGTCTTTTAGTGGATCGAAAGCATGGATTTTGGCAAGGGACTTTAAAACTGTGTAAACATTCTATGGTTATTATTAAGTGGAATAATAACTGTATTTTTTTTTTAAATTGTAGTACTATAATATAATTGTTAGTAGAAGAAAATTATCATGCATCTAGGATTTTTGTTTTTGTTTTTGCCACAAAATATCTCTAAGGAAAATAAATCAATAAAAATAATGTTTATCAAATCAAACAAAACAACTCATGCTATCTTACGATTCATTGAGGAAAACTTAGTCTAAACATTCTATATTATCTTATGACAGTTGTACAACTATTATCAAATTAAATCATCAACAACGATGCAAGGCAAATCATGTTTTGAAAAATGATTCGGTAAAACGTGTTGAACGGTACCACCTCACGACACCTTATCATTGCTTACAGTGCAGCTTACGTACAGCTATTTTTCCACTGGTCACGCAGATGTTTCGTGACCTGATCAAATAAACACAGAATGAAACTGAGGCCGCTTTCAGTCAAAACATCAAGACAATACAATACACAGGCATTGTAGAAACCTTACACTGTACATCGTGATATCGTCACGCTCCAGGAATGTTAGTTTCTATAACTTACCCCACAAAGAAACTACTTCACTTGTAACCACCATGATAAAGATATGGTCTAACCATAACAAAACAAATCCTATGTGGTTGTAGTGTTTATCGAGGGTTACATCGAAATACAAATAACCTTACTTTGTTTTTAGATGTATTATATATTGTGTGGTGTGTTTTAGAAGAATATTAATATAACGTCACGCTACCATAATTGGTACAATTTTGACAGTTTTTGAGTGATATTCAAAATTCAGATCTTGTATCTGGAAGTTTTTTTTATTCTTGATAAAGACCAACCATAGTGGTTCATTTTCAAAACAAGTTTTGATTGTAAGTATTTGTTTTTCAAAATAGAACACTAAACTCGCAGAGAGATTTCGTCCGTTTTTCGGCCATGATTAGTACCCAAATTGGTACACCATATCACAGGCTGTGAAACCTGTTTTTAATTCTACTAGTTGATATGCCAATTGCAACAAGATATGCTGCTTTTATAAATGCCATACTGAACTACAATTGTATATATACGCTTTTATATTATCCGGTTATAAGGACAAGACAAAGTATTGGAGATAAACGAATTCTACATCTGAAGAAAGCTTTCGATATTTGATATTCACTCTTCCTTTCTACCGCATATAAAATGGAAAAATAGTATATATAGCGCTTACAAGTTACAAAGACTATCATAACATTGATGTTTTCTCTTGGTAACAAATGACACTGAAAATTGATTAAACAGATTTTTGTCTGAACAACATAAGAGAAACTGATTAATCGATTTAATGGTATATAAAAACAAATACGTATTTTATACCATTGTTGTTGTTATTGCTCCTCCAAATTAGTTGACGGGGCAAATAGAAGTCACTTGGTAGTTCGTCCGTTAATGTGTGCGCCCGTCCGTAGTAAAATCTTTATGTACGTGATATTTCATGAACACCCATACAGCTTTATTTTTACACCATAGTATAGTAGTATTAAGGTCTACCCTAGATTGCATGTTCATGGTCGTTGGTAAAGGTAAAGGGTCACATGTCTCGTTTAATAATTGTTTAAATAAAAAAGCTTGCGTGTAAGAGATTACAAGAATCCACCTCAACTGCTTTATTGATACTTCCAGTATGGTAAAACAGTGCTCCCCAACTGACTCATTTTGAAAGTCATTGATCAAGGTCAATGGCTTAAATAAATACCCTTTTGTGGTGTTCCTTTGATACATCATTCACGTTGTTTATATTTCGTTTCACAACTGTTTGGGTGAGGTATTTGGTGTCGCGTTGTTTTCCTACACTTCCTCGGCGTTTTTATGTGATAATTGCGTTTCTGTTGTTCTTCGTGTTTTAACACTATGGTATATTCTTTTTCCATTATTAACCCTTTCTATATTTTGTATATCTCACAAAAGGTAATTTTATCCAAGAAATACTGTTATATCGCCCGCTGGTTTTGAGTTCTGAGGTTCTTTTAGTAAAAACAATCTAACATTAATATTACTTCATTTCGTATCATTTAAGCTTAATTTGTAACTGGAAATGAAATTTAAAACCATTACTTTTTAATCAATATTAATTGAGTATATATGTAGAAATTTATCTCCAGGTTAATTGTATAATCAAATAAGTTCAAGTGAAGTGAGAGTATCTTTGCAGTATTTTGACTCCGTTTATTGTTGATGCTGATGTGAGAAAGATCTTGTTAAGACAAATTTGTACCATTCTCCTATTGCTTTACATCTTGATAGTAGATCGATTAAGCCAATGCTTGGGCGTGGGCTTTTGAAACGAGTCAGGAGATATGTTGGTAATCTGATGGCCGCGAGATCAGTAAACCATGACTACTGTAATGGATGTTATCATATTACATATACTGGAAAAACTCAGTAGCGGCTACCCCGGGGTTTCTCTATAATTTTACTTTATATTTTAATTGGTACGAACTGACAGAGAGATTGACCCTGGTGGGAGACATTTTCATTAAGTAATAGAAGTCGCCTTGGGACGAGTATCACATATCCCATTAAAAAGCGTAAGCGCCTTGATAGATATTCACTCTCGTTTCAGCTTTTGCCTTTTTAATAACATGATTCACTGGCCTAAATGTGGTAATGTATAGCTGGCTCACTAATTTAAATACGGTAATATATATCTTTACTACATGTGCCTAATCTAGATATGACAATATTTAGCTTGACTCAGAGATCTGAATATGGCAATGTTGAGCATGACTAAGTATGGTAAATTTGGCAATACTTAACTTGGTAATGTATAGATTTTCACTAGTCTTAATAAGAATGGCTCACTTATCTCAATATGATAATGTATAATTAGGATCACTAGTTTAAAAACGGTAATGTATACATGTTTTCACTAGTCTAAATATGATAGCATACACCTGTTTCATTAGTCATAGTCTAAAGACGATAATGTATAGTTTATTGCACAGGACTAAATATGATAACATACACATTGTTTCACTAGTCTAAATATGGCAATATATAGTTTGCTTCAATAGTCTAAATACGGTAATGTATAGTTGATTGCACTGGTCTAAATATGGTTAGTATAGTTTGTTTCACTAGCCTTAACATGTAATGTACAACCCGTCTCACTTTATTTAAATATGGCAATGTCCATTAATTTGGCAATATAAAGCCTGCCTAACATTGACTCACTACGATAAGTAACCAACAGTACATATGATACAAAATGGTCGATACATGTTTAGGTCATATATACGCGGTATCGTCACCATTAACAAATCCTCGTTATCTGTGGCTACAGTCTTATTAGGTGTTTTTAGGCTTATACTGTTTTGACACTTGATAAATATTTAGCTACATTATGGCATCTCAGTATGCTGGTCTGCGTTTTATTTGTCATAAAGTTATTCCGATACCTCACACGTACATGTAGACATACAGCTATTTTGTTTTGACAATCATGACAAAATATACGATGATACAGTGAGTTCTTATTAAAACCGTTCCCATGAGAAATACGATCGAAATTGCATTTTAGCGATATGTTTGAATAGATTGGCGTACTTTTATTGACAACAGAAACAGTTTATTGTCTGTTTTGTTGGATATTAAATGATGTGAGGCAAGCAGGAGAATGTTTTAAGTGTCGGTCAATGAGCCGTATCTATGTGTATGTATACTGCGGAGATATGCATTCATCTGTTCAGCACGTTTATCAAACCCTGTCAAACTTCTCATTTATTTTATTTTAAATGGTCAACATTAAATTTATAGCCACGGATAAAAGGTCATAACCTAATACATATTATTTCGGGTTGATATTAGATATGTGTTTTTCTTACGCTATCAACATATCAAAGGACATTTCATGTTTTAGAACTAGTATTTTTATCTTACCCCTCTTAATAAGTTATAAACTCATCTATACCTGTAACTTGTTGCTGCTTCATTTGAGTTGATAATATGCATGAGAACAATATACAGACTTAAAGGCACGTGCAACTAATCGATTAGACGTGTTGCTCATGTGACTAATTGATTAGACATCTTGCATATGTGACTAATTGATTAGACGTGTTGCACATGTGACTAATTGATTAGACGTGTTGTACATGTGACTAATCGATTAGACGTGTTGCACATGTGACTAATTGATTAGACGTGTTGCACATGTGACTAATTTATTTGACGTGTTGCACATGTGACTAATTGATTAGACGTGTTGCACATGTGACTAATTGACTAGACGTGTTGCACATGTGACTAATTGATTAGATGTGTTGCACATGTGACTAATTGATTAGACGAGTTGCACATCTGACTAACTGATTAGACGTGTTGAATCGTTAAGATTAACCCTCTTGCCCATGACAAGTCGTTAGGTATACAAAGAATGTAATCAAAGATCGTTATTGGAATGCTGACGTTGTAGATTTGTTGCTTTCAGTAATACCTGTACCTGTATTGACATATTACCCGCATTCATACACTTTTGACACACATAATTTATGAGCAAAATGAGATATGTTTAAATTTAACGATGGATGCGTTTGCTGTTATTTAATATCCATGGTTCACAGTATCATATATCTTTACAGATAACTACACCAGTGAGAGTGACGTAGATATAACAAGAAGGTGATGTCGTCACAACCTCTTTTGGCCATCTTGATGGTGGTGGCTTCGTTTTCGATTGCTTACGGAGCGGATTGTCCATGGGATGACGCTGGCCTTGAGCTATGGTCCTCCCTGGTAAGTTCAAAGGTCATCCACCAAAGGATGAGATGTGCATCCGTTATAGTTTTGCATATTAAGAAATAGAAACTATTTACCTAAAATGTCGTATTCGATATTCTTTTATACTTCAGAGGATCATTATTAGAAGCCAATTTTTGACTTCGTGACCTCAACATAATGTACATCGGATCAAGGCATCGAAGTCTTGTGTTTTGTCGAGTCCGCACGAATTGTTTATCAGGTTTCAGGTCACTACATACAAGTTATTTAGGTTTCAGGTTTCTACGGATTAGTTTCTCTGGTTTCAAGTTGGTTCCATATAGGATTTTCGATCGTGTATTAGTTGTTTACCTATTTGTTTATGTGGTTTAGAACTAGGTCCATCAACGTTACAGTTGCTCTATTATAGTTTCGATAGTTTGAGGTTAACGAGGTACATGTAAAGGTTTCTGTGATTTTATATAGATACATGTACGGTTGTTATTATTGCTGTTATTATTTTACCCCCCGCAACGAAGTTTGGGGGATATACTGGAGTCTGTCTGTCTGTCTGTCTGTCTGTCTTTGGGGTATGTACAAGGTCACGACTGAATTACGTTACTGAAATGGCTAAATATCTCGGAAAAGGTAGGTATTTTATATACACATATACCTTGGAATATTGTAGGGATTAATGAAAGCTTCTCCGCTGACAAATTTCCGAGGTCTTTGGGTCAAAGGTCAAAGGTCACAAATGAATTACGTTACTGAAATGGCTAATCATCTCGGAAACAGTAGGTATTTTGTATACACATATACATGGAATGTTGTAGGTATTAATGAAAGCTACTCTTCTGGCAAACTTCTGAGGTTATTTGGTAGGTCAAATATCACGGAATTACGTTACTGAAATGGTAAAATATCTCGGAAACGGTAGGTAATTTGTATACACGTATACATTACAGTATCGTTGCCATTTATGCAAGTTATATTGTGACAAACTTCCAAGGTCATGAGGTCAAAGGTCACAGATGCATTATGTTACTGAAATGGCTCACTATCGCAGAAATGGAAGGAATTTTGTATACACATACATGTACCTTGGAGTATATGTAGCATTGGTGCAAGCTACATTGAGACAAAATTCCACGGCCATTGAGACAAAAGTCACAAAAGTGGTGTTAGTCTTTTCCATTAGTTTGTAGGTACAACATCTGAGGTAAGACTTTTTCATTATCCTTGATCGTTTAGCCCTTACAGGGGCAACAAGCAGCCGGAATGCGGGGGTATTAGTTAGCCCATAGGCGACAGTTCTAGTTTCTGCAAGTCATTGAGTATGTGTTATGTGGTTTCTAATCCCTTAATGTAATTTTTTATTGTATACCATTCTACATCATGCGATGCTCTGTGGCGACACTTGTGTTACACAATCGCCTGAATGTTATTTGTTAACATCAATTATCTATTTTATCTGATGGGTTGGTTACCCCAGCATTCTTTTAAAGGAATCTGTGAGTATTCCCTTATGTTTGCATAAAGAGCTATGTACACTGTTAGAAATTTCAATTTCAATAACTTTGGTTTTATGAATGTTCTTGCTAGAAAAAACCTTAAACGGTTTCAGTAATCCGTTTTGAAAGACCTTTAACATGTAAATCAAATAAGATGCATGTTCTTCAAATAGCAGCAGCGCCAATGGCGGAATGCCGGTTGTATTTTTTTGCTTTTTTAAGTAAATGTGAGGTGCCTTAAGATTTGTTACTTTCCTTACAAAATTATTTCACTACATTTTTATATTGAGTAACTTGGTTTCTTTGTTAAGACTATTAATCGTTTCAAATATGAAATAATTTCCATAACAAGCACTTGGTGCCAATAGGCCAATATTGTTTCAACAACGAAAATGCGGGCGTTAACGTTTATTTGCATTTCAGAACCCCGTTCCGCTACCAAAAGCTGTAACTAAGTGTAACGGAAGCGTGCCTACAGCTCGTTTCCAAGTTCTATCTTGGACTCAGTAACTCTTGTGACAAATAAATGCCGGCAGAATACAATTGTATTGCCTAATGTTTCAAATAACTATTACCCCAAATAACTACTGTCTAAACTACACCCGTTAGATATTTTACATTTATGACAATATACCTCTAACGCTAATATAGTCAAAAAGCCAACTAAACACTGTATTATATTATATCTGTCATCCTGTATCAACAGTAAATAGCCCCTTACTGCGACACCTGTGAGTGTGTACACCCTTTACCGCGACACACTTTGTTCAGGTCACCCTTTACCGCGACTACCTTATGACCAAGTCACCCTAGACACTGTGAAACCAATGCCTTGGTAAACCCTGAAGTCTTGAAGAAACCGGTGTCTTGGTACCTGTCACTCTGTAATATCTATCAACAGTACGTCGCCCTGTATTGTGATACTCTGTGACTATGTACACTACCCAGTAATCCAATTTACTTTGACAATGAACTATAAAGGAGTGAGTGGAACCCTACCTTATGCTGCCAGGCCCAAACTTATACAGCTTGGTCACTGTTCATCTATTTTGAGATGTTCTTTTCACTTCGACCGCCAGAGCAAGAGAGAGCCTTTCGTCTGATGGGACCTCTATTTATATACCTAGTCATCCAATGAACTGATGTCTTTCATTAGCTAATCAAAACTACTCTTACTTCCGAAGTCTATACTATATAACAATTATTGAACAATGTAATTACTAAAGAATAAACCTCTTCATAAGTATTTGAAACTGTTTTCTAGCATGACTATAGCTTTGATAAATCGTTTCTGAAAAGGACACGGGAATTTAATGAGAAACAATAAGGATTAGATAAACAAAATATAATCAACAACAGTTATCGGAGTAATACATCGTGGAGCTAACCAGGATTCGAACCTTGAACTTTAGACTGCTATACTATCGCTCTACCCGATTGACTTACCTGGTCGACGGAAGTGTCCTGGCCAAGTTGTTCTATAGTTATATCCAAACGGAATTTAAGGGGAGTTTACTGCAAATACGAAAACAAATGCAGTGGGACATGGATCCTTAAGCAAATGCATCCTATATCGTTCCAATTCTGACGTCATTTAAAACATTGAACTTTTTATAACCCGACAATTGATGTTTAACAGCTGCTTCCTGGTTTGGTTTTGTCGTTAATAGCTTCAATTCAAAACATAAAATGTAAACGTCATATCTTTGAAAATTACAATTCCTATTAAATATTTTAAAATGAAACATATATCTCATATATCATAAGTGGCGCACTTTTAGGATTTCCCTTTTCATATTTTATCTTTTTTTTAAAACAAATAATGAATAGAGATCGAAATGAAATGTCAAATTTCCTTTTTATTCTGCCCATCGCTTTTACCTGGTTAAGAAAACAATGCTTTATTTGTCAATCGCAAATGTACATATGCATACTATAATATATAAAGAACTAACTTAATTCCTTTGATTAATTTAGCAAACCCATACTTTTTGATAACTGATGCTACCTGGACCAGTAAGTTGCTTTGTCCTTACATTAGTTAACTACTACAAAGTATCTGTCGATGAAAGTATTGAAACAGCCATAACATTATTTCAGAATGCTGATCCTAATAAAGTCGTTAAAATAGACAAGGGGATCCTCTATGACGTGAGTTCTACTGACGAGTTTATAGGAATCGAAGTAGCAGGTGGTGGCAAACTTGTGTTCAAGCCCAATGTTGCAAATGGCCTCAACCTGAAGACTCACTACATCATTATCAAGAATGGTGGTCGTATGGATGTAGGATCCGAACAATGTCGATATACTGGAAAATTGACCATTCAACTTCTCGGTACGTGTATACTTTGGATAAAAGATATTAAGTTATTCTGTATATGTAAACGTGTCAGTATGATAAATCAACGGCTATTCAGCATTTTGGTATATAAATGTATTTTTATATTTATGTGTATAAATGCTGATATATATATATGTACATTAAGGTCTCATAAGTATATGTAATAATGCCCTATATATATGCAAGCGTATATATAAAAGTGACAGCATGGACAAAGGAACATGTCAAATTTTCAAGGTAACCCACCCTTTTATCTCGACACAAACATGAAACACGTACATATCACAAAATATAACACAGATGTATACAGTTGATACTCCAATCTAATTAAAATTATATCTTCACATCGCTCCCGTTTACTGATATGTCGCGTTGAAGATCTAACAACATCCCGTAGAGGGTCATGTTCAGGCGACCTTTGCATTAACCAATCAGATGAGAGCTTACGCATTTCTGTAAGTGATGATGTAATGATTTCGGAACACACTTGCTATGATAAAAGACCGAGAGGTGTCAAATGAGCATCGAAAATGGCGGCGCCCATGACACCACGCCGTGTCTATCTACAAGACAACGTTTGTACAATTTGTGGATTTTGCTTTGAAATAAGGGAGACTTCCTCTTCTGGTGATGTTGTCGTTAAAAAGTTTAACAACCTGAAACTAAAATTAACCAATGACAGGCTTCGCAATATTCAAACTATCACTGGACCAGACGAAAAAGTGGATTTTGGGCTACGAGGTGTCTGCATTAAATGCTACAGGTCCTGCTTTCTGATTGGTTGAAAGAAAGAGTTATGTCGCGTTTTGATTGGCTTGTTATAAATACGATAATGCATTCATGTTGACCTCTGACGTGACCCTCTATGGGATGTTGTTAGATCTTCAACGCGACATATCAGTAAACGGGAGCGATGTGAAGATATAATTTTAATTAGATTGTTGATACTCTGATTTTAAAGCATATTTCTTCCGTTGGTCTGGAGCCGAATGTTATCCATAGCGAAATCACTAATCCTCATTAGGTCGTGTACCCTGAGGAAGTGTTATAAATAGAAGTTTCCCAGCGAGTGAGAGTTGGTCGTCATGTTTAACTTACTCGAGTTATATATAATTAGTTAATCTTCAAATTGTATAAAAAAAACGAGGGTCACCGAGTGTCTTTTACAATTTCAAATTAACTTAGTATTTTATCTGGAAAACATGATAAAAAAACATGACGTCACAATAGAAAAAATGACGTCGAAAAGTATTGTTATGTGACGTCAGAGATTGACCAATGAAATCACGTCCAGGGTGTTACCCTCTAGTGGTTAACCAAAAATGATTACCAACTCAGGTTTATCCAATGAATCAGGAGTGAGGAAACCTAGAGTGGTTGTGGGAGAAAAAGAGGTTTCCCAACGAGTTAGATTTGGTTATTATAATATTCTTACTTGAGTTAGTTAGGTTTTAAATTGTACTAAGACAGAAGCAATGGTTGTCATCGGACTTTAATTGCGCTTCAACAAGAACGGTGCCGTATTTGAAACTAGTATCAATTCGTCGATCCTTTTGTCACTGCGTTAGCGCTAATTTATACTCAGTCAGACTTAGTAGAGATGCAAATAGATATAGGTTTTTATTAAATCATTTTGAACGTGTTGAAAGTTAACAATTCATATTATATTTTTCATTTCATCACATTTTATTGACAAGATTGCATAGTCAATTATATATGATAATAGGCAAAGCCTATATAAATTCTCTCATTCAAATGGCCAAAGTGGAATAAACAATGTGACATAATATTTAAGACTTGTTAGAAATGAAAAATTAAACACAAAATAATTCATATCCACACAAGGCTAAGGGGAAATAACTCATGAAGGAAACATCTCACACACCTCATACACACTTACACACACATACAAGTACATGTACAAATACATTAATTTCAGCATATATATACACTATCATAGACAGATATTGGCAGAGTTAGACCTAATTTAACTATTATTACACATAATAAAGCCACGGAAACACTGCATAATACTGAACGAATACAACAGTATTTATGTATCGAGAAATGGAAAAAAAAAATGATGCATTACTTGAATGACTTGAATGCTTTTAACATCTCCAAGCAACTTAAATTGGAGAGTGTCACAAGGACTTTAATGGTGAAAAACTGTAGAATAATAATCGTAGGCATTTCCGCAGTACCTATTTAACTATTTTGATTGATCAATTGTCTGTATTGGCTTGCTTTAATGCATTATTATTTTCAGGCGAAAGGAAAACGATTAATAATCTTGAGCAATTCGGTGACAAGGTCATTGGCGTCGAAAAGAATGGCAGTCTAAATATATGTGGAGAGAAGAAGGTCTCGTGGACCAGGTTGGACGGACCACTGCTCAGAATGCCAGACAAAGGAATGTTGTTCGACCAGACGGTAACTGGAAATAGCTTACTTTATCTTATGGTGGTTAACGCCCAATTATACTGGTTTTCATTTTTCTTTTGTCTAATAAATCATTTATTGGTTTCTGGTATTCCGTCTTTGCGTAGTGCAGAGTTATCTTCTCTTGAGAGCAGGTATTGATTGTTACGCCATTGGTTTGGGTGAGAAAATTGCGTCGTTTTCTCAAAAATTGATGACGTTACTCTCACAAACAAATGACGTAACAATCAATACCTGCTATCAAGAGAAGATAACTCTGCAATACGTAAAGACGGATTTGATAAAGGATAAACTTAACTTTATTAATGCAAAGAAACATCAGTTACTTCTGGCCATGGAGTTACGCAGATGCTTCCTTTTTTAGTATACTTTATTTTTATTTATTTATATATTTATTTACATTTGTATTACCTGGATGCGTGCCGATTAATCTACATTTGTCCGATGGCCTCTTATGATAAAGAAATTGTTGAGCAACCATGGAATCCGATTTTCAACGAATAATATCATTATAATTATTTTTGTTAACACTATAGAATTTTAAATCTTATGCGAAAAACATTATTCGTCATTTTTTTTATTAGCTAAATGATTTCTGCAGATATGTCTCCGCCATTTATTTTTTTGTTTTATCTTGTTTTGAACAAAATTGTCAAGCATATGACGGTAACAAGATGCCTACAAATGTGTCATCATGATTCTAAATCTCTGTTTTTCTATTTGAAACAGCATTGCACATAATTCATAATTTGGTCTTTAGGTATGAAGTTGTTTTCTTTTATGATATTGGTTATTTATATACCAAAGTGAATGAGATAAGGAGGCAATGTTCTCTTCCAACCGTGTACATGTCTGTTGTAGAGGGTTTCAAACGGGCTGTAAATATAAGCATGTATCATCTACAAGCTCCACTAGAATAGCTTATACTCTTAATAACAATATAAAAACACTACGGTAAGATTGGGACACACATAACACCGTGTAATGTTAACACATTCTGAACTTATCGAAAAGAGAATAGATAAGTATAGATTTACTTCTTAACCAAGTATAAACGATTTAATTCGCAGTTATCATAGTACGTGGGTTTATCTTTTCCTCAAAATAATCATGTGAACACTATTTTGCCTAACACACATTAGTTAGAAAAATAAGGAAGTAGCTTTGAGTTCTAATCTAAGCATTTAAAAACGTATTTCTGTTTCACAATTAGGTCACACAAGAAGATAAACTGCAAGGTCTGATTGTGTACCAGTTTGATCCTGCACTTCCCACTTATGATACAAAAATTGTCAACAGGAAATCCTTCCTATTTAAGACATCCTCAGTAAGCAAATTCAACAATAGTGTGGATGATCTCAAAAAGTACTTTGATGGTAAGTATAAGAAATACTAATTAACCGTTTAACTATTTTGAAAAGTTTTTCATACGGTATATATAAAGAGATATTTCCAAGAAAATATCAAACGAACAGAAATATTCTGTTAAAGGTATTATAATTCGATTTTAATATCTTTTTGAAGAAATTAATAGTTTGCCGTCCAACATTAATTCCAAAAATAAAACAAAGAATGTTGGCCTAAATACCACATTGACTGTATATAGTATTGACTGTATATAGTATTGTAAAACATGTATAAACATACATAATAGGGTTATATTGAACAGGGCAGTATTTATGCCTTGAGATTATTTAAATAAATTATAAAACAACGTGGTTAGCGCTTTTGATGATTTGGCAATACACTACCAAATAGAATGCGCTTGCAACTCTTTCTTATAGTTTATAAATGTATTTAAAATCTTTTCCTTCCCCTCTCCTATACATTTTCCTCTTTTCCCGTTTCTATATCTTATCAGTCGCTGCCTGCTTGTGAATTCTTTTAAAGGAGACAGATTTACATAAGTTTCTTTTTTTTCTGAATCCTTGTTGTATACAATAAATGTTATGAAGTCAACAAATGTTATGAAGTCAACAAATCAACAAATATCTTACCATTGCACTTATAAATTTCATACTGTGTTCATCAAAACAACATCAAAACCTTCTTTTTTCAGAAGGTCTGGTTTGTGTTGTCGTAGGAACATCATACATGTATCTGCTAGATAATTCAGTGCCGTCGGTCGTGAATTGAGACGATACAAGGCACGAGTAATGACATTATCTTCCTTCTAATATTGTATATATATATACAAAGTTGATATACTGATTTCTTTTTCGTGACATGGTGTATTCTCTTTATTTAGAGGTGCCCAAAGATCACATAGTCGTTGCTGTTATTCGGAAGTCGTTAATGGCGAAAACGGATGAAAAGAACTTCCAGATTTTATACGATGTAATAGCGAACTTTTTAGAAGTAAAACCGGAAGAATCACTTATCAACAACCTTCGATTTTACGACGGATATGTAATGATCAAAAAGAAAGGTGAGCTATATTTTGATTGTAATAAATAAAAATTGTTACTTCAAAGAAAGGAAATTTGACATCAAGGGGTCCTTGAGGAAATTATTTTGAAACAATACCAACTGCTAGAAGCTACAATAAAAAGCCGTTAAAAATCATTCTAAATAATATATATCCCTCATATATCTGTATTTATAGTGGTAAAACATAAAATGTCCAGAAATAGAAATAAAACAAATGTATCGTAATATATATAATAAGCATGCCTGCTAATACGGAACATGTAACACCTATGTTATAATCAGTTTAAATTTACATATTCCGTATGTTTGGTATGTTCAGATGCACTAGGTATTGTGCTTTGTGTAGTTACTACAGATGGCTTTAATATTAATTTTTGAACGATGTATTTATTTGTGCATTTATAATATGCCCCGTTTTTCTTTCCATATATTTTATTGAACATAAGTACTTTCACATTATAATCATTTTAAGACGTCGCAAATTAAAGACATCTGCATTATGTGTAATTTGCTTATTATTATTTATTTTTCATTAATAAATAATAGTATTAATAGTAATTCTAAAACCTAAACAAATAATCAAAATACCTACTTCAAATAAACAGTCTAAAGAATCTCCTTGACGAGATGAAAATACTAAAGACTCGTTGTCGAGATTGATTCTTTTTATATTATTTCTTCGACCGGAAGGATTATTTTTCTGCGTTTATAATATATATATATATGTAGACATATATAGATGTGTATGTATATGAAAGCGCTAGGAAGTTCCTAGGAAACTCTTTGTATTTATTTTATTTATAAATATAGGTATGTATGTAAACGTATTTATTCGTTTTTTTATATTGAAACCACATCCCCAATTTAATTTGTAGGTGATCCCAAAAAAATGGTTGAAGCAACAAGCTTATATAGAACCAACTCGTTGGATCAAGTATCTGAAGCTGTGTTGTTTGACGGACGCAAGAAATTTTACGCCAAGAGCTATACTAGGATTAAAGCTCATGGAAGATCCACCACAACAGTTCAGGTGATCGATAAAGACTTCTCCGAGCTGACTATGAAGGTGTCCGAAGATATTTCATCTTGGGCGTTAGGTAAATAACAAACAAACGAAGTTCACCAAATAAAAACTAAACTCTTCTTTATATGATTGTAGAGAATGTATATATGTGTATATGACTGGAGAGTATGTTTATCAGTTAATATGACTGTTGAGTATACATATCAGTTTATATGACTGTAGAATATATATATCAGTTGATATGACTGTTGAGTATGCATATCAGTTAATATGACTGTAGAGTATATATATCAGTTAATATGACTGTTGAGTATATATATCAGTTAATATGACTGTAGAGTATATATATCAGTTTATATGACTGTAGAGTATGTCTATCAGTTAATATGACTGTAGAGTATGTATATCAGTTAATGTGACTGAAGAGCATATATATCAGTTAATATGACTGTAGAGTATGTATATCAGTATATATGAATGTAGAGTATATATATCAGTTAATGTGACTGTAGAGTATGTATATCAGTTCATATGACTGTTGAGTATATATATCAGTTAATATGACTTTAGAGTATATGTATCAGTTCATAAGACTGTTGAGTATATATATCAGTTGATAATATGTCTGTAGAGCATGTATATCAGTTAATGTGACTGAAGAGCATATATATTAGTTAATATGACTGTAGAGTAGGTCTATCAGTTAATGTGACTGTAGAGTATGTATATCCGTTTATATGAATGTAGAGTATGTATATCATTTAATATGACTGTAGAGTATGTATATCAGTTCATATGACTGTTGAGTATATATATCAGTTGATAATATGACTGTAGAGCATGTATATCAGTTAATTTTAACTGTTGAGAATATAGAGAAATTATGTTATTTGTATTATTGTTGTACAATTATTTATGATAAAGCATTATATAATCATTTTTGATGTAACAATAACTGGGGGAATACATGTTATTTGAACCTGGAAAAGCAAAATTGACCGAGACAAAGTCAATGAAAACATCATTGTTTAAGTCCATTTAACAACACAGCACCTCAACAAACGTCAACAATTAATAGATACGACCTAAGAAAATCATATATCTGTTATATCAGCATATCAGTTAATAAAGAAGTAGACAATTTGTATCACCCGTTTTAGCCAAACATTACCATAACTGTGTTACTCTTCTCGCATTTACTTATACAACCTTCATACCATTATTACAGCTGTTTCATAAAGCTTGTGTAAATATCATTTTCTGCTATATATTTCCTCAAATAAGGGGAATATGTTCATATAATAAACAGGATGAATAGAAATGGTATGACAAAATCAGTTGTGCTCATCTACTGGATGTATATGTTTTTCTGGAGGTGCATGTTACATTGGTTTACGTTCTCAAAACTTACCTTGTGGGATTTCCTTCATACACAGGCTCCAAACTGCTGATCACGTCCACTGGAAACCAGGAAGAAACTGAGTTTGCTACAATCACGGAACTAGTTGATGAAACTCATGTCAAGATTGACCGTGAGTATTGTTGCATAAGGCAATTACATACATACTCCCAGAAACTCGTACTCATGGAAAACTATCCAATGTAAAGACATTTATGATCTGTGACGTGACTTCTTTGCTGATTGGGCGATATTTCAAATCTGTATTGTCATGTTGCATTGAGTATATATACATATATAAGCAAAGTAGCATGATTTATGTTGTTCGCTTTAATACTTTGAAACACCTAGTCCTATATTCATATCGACGACAAAAATTAAGTCCAACCTTGTTAACGTTAAAATCTGTGATATAGCATATCTGAAATTCATGTCAGAATAAAGCACTTTTGATGTCATATATGAACTTAAGATCATTTATTTTTCTTGACAGGGATCCTAAATCATAATAAGATTTTCTTTTTAAGATATATGTTTTAGTATTTATCAATGAATTTCAAAGATATGTACTTATTGCGTATGTATCTATATAGGTCTCATTAATAATAACGACAGTATGCTCCAATATTGGCACTGGATCCGAACAAACAAATGTTGGTTGGATGCGTATTACTTTAAAAGATATAATTCATCTTGGATATGTGGTAGAATTAATACTAAAAATCTGAGTAAATTTCACACATTCAAGATGATTTATTTACGAGAATTAGCCTTCGGTTACAGGCTAACCGACGGGATATGTTTTTTTATGTATTTTGTATTGTATTATTGTCTCATGGTGACTGTTTTTATGTTTTATGTTGTTATATGTAAATGTTCAAGATCCTGTCGTGACAAAAGACTAAGATATATGCATCTTAATTTTTTTCATAATAAATGCCCAGTGACCGCCAGATTTGATCATTTGTGTGAAACTTATAAGGGCGTTCGAATGTGCGCCGAGGTGGCACTTCTTGACCGCAACGTTCTCGTGGAAGGAGTGACCTTCGGAGATGACCAACATGGTGGCAACATTAAGGTAGGCAGTAAGATAACCTTTATGGTGCTTAGATATAAGTTAACTTATTTGTTGGTTAATTTAGTAAACGTATATGATGATTAGATGCTAGTTAAGTTGTATGGTGATTGAATGTTTGTTTACATATATAGTTACATGTATCTTATATAGTATTTAAATGTAAACTATCATCTTATCAACATGTGTCACCATAAAAGTTAGCCACATTTATTTGGTGATTGAATGCTAGTTAACTTATATGGTGGTTATATTTTTAGTTAACTGATATGGTAATAGGATGTTAACAAACTTATTTGATGATTGAATGATAGATAACTTATATACAAGTCAATTGATAGTTAACTTATATGTTGGTTAGACGGTAGTTAACTAATGTTAGTTAATTGATATGGTGGTTAGATGTTAGTAAACCTATGTTAGTTAGCTTTTATGATGGTAAGATGTTAGTTAATGTTTATGGTGGTTAAATGATAGTTAACTTATATAGTGGCTAGATGTCAGTTGGTTTATGTAGAGTTCAAATGTTAGTTAACTTATGCTAGTTATATTTATTGAATGCCACTTAATTTTATAATGGTGAGAGGTAAGTTAACATAACACGAGGTTATGTGTTAGTCAACCGATGTGGTGGTTGAGTATAAATTAACTTGTATTGTGGTTATATGGTAGTTAACACATATGGTGATTGACTATTAGTTAATTTTATGGTGGTTAGAGATAAGTTAACGTATATGGTGGTTTAATGTTGGTTAACTTTTGCTGTGGTTATATTTGAGTTACAAATGTAAAGTGGTTATATGTGATTTAGCATATATAGTGAATACATGTATCTGTAATTTGGCATTTATAGTGGTTAGATGTTAGCGAACTTATATGGTGATTGAATATAAGTAAATTTTATGGTGGTTATAAGTTAGCAATAGTTGTTATAAAGAAAGTAATGACTGTAACTAATATGGATGTCAAATGAAGCGGAACTGGACACGGTCGATTGCTGGCCACCAGCTGGTAGCTCCATTGTAGAGCGACCGTCAAGGGATCGGAGGTCACAGAATCGAATCCTTGTGTGGTCGAGCACTTTTCCTTTCCTGCCAGTCGTAACGGGATAAATACAGTTGTAATTGAAATGTTTGTTATCCTATTACCAATTTAGTTGTCACATAAATGTTAGAAATTAGGGGGAAAATAATAACCTGTTTTATCACATTACATTTTTAAATTATTATATCTATACAGCACATTATTAAGTAAGATTATTATAGGATGACTTATGTTTTTATGACATGAGAACAGGTATTTTCCCAAAAAAAAAATTTGATAAATAATTTCAAAGACATATCAATACAAAAGTTTAGAAACTGGTGTTTTTTTAGTGCAAAATCGTATTTTTGTTAAACTCAGAATATGGCCTAGCACTTTATGATATGTTTTAAGGATCCCTCTCTCATTGCAGGCAAAACACTAGAGAATTTCAATGTAGATTTTCTTACAAACAGTAACCTCCCCTTATTTTTGTTTTCGATCTGAGTGTAGCGCGTCTGACACGTTGGGAAATTTGCAATGCAGAAAATGCTTCTCTCTAAAACGTCACGTTGCAGGAATTTCTTTTTTGCTATGCGGGCCGAACCTTTGTGTGCCTTTAGGCTTATTTAAAGCACCTTAATCCAGAAAAAAAGAGATTGTGTGGTATAAAAGCGTTCATTCCTTCTAGCGACAACACTTATCTCGATAATTAAAACCCATCTATCTCGTATTTTCTTTCGGTGCAAAATTATTGGTCAATTTTTAGACTTTAAATCAAAAGTTGCGATGTTTCATGTGTTCTCATTTAAACAAAAGAATGTCTCCTTTAACGCAGAACATCACATTTTGGTGCTGTTTTTTTATTACGGTATTAAGTTTTAATTGGTTGAACATTATATCGCCAGTTTGAATAGTAATATATTGTAATCTGAAAATGTAATTTGACATAGAATGTCTTCTATTGAAAGTGAATAACACGAAATACAGCAATATTAGAGCAAACATCTAAAACAATATTAGTTTCTAATTTCATGCGCCAGAAGAAAGTACCAGGTGAAAAGGTTCGAATGGTCAAAAAGATGGAATTCACCGTAATGAATCAGCATGTTTACATCACATTACTTTCGCCATTTTCATTATTAAGTTGTTGCAAATAAACTTAACGATATAGAAACTGAGATACCCATCATTCGAAGGAGTAGTTTTCTTCCCGTAAGGTAAAACAGGAAGTCCCCGCAACGTGAGTTCTTTCAAAACAGTGCGTTCTGCGATACGAGATTACCCACCGTTACTTAGCTGTTTAAAAACAACATCTGGAATCATGTTACAAAGATATTACCGTGCTTGAAAAAGTATCAAATGCACAGTTACGCTTGTTTTCAAAAAGGTACAGGATATTGTTTTAGAAGACAAACTATTCGCCACGTGTTTTGTTGATTCCCATTTTTATGTCCGACAGTGCCTGGAAGGTTTCGCGAGCTGTAACTTTATCGACTTTGAGCTGAATTTGATGGGTTCACATTTTCCTCTCGGTAAGTCATATTTTCATCACAAGTGTATGCATTGATTTAATTTAAATAAGTATACATGTATTATCCTTTTATCTGTCTGAAATAGCTCTGGAAATAGTAAATGACCCATTTAGATTTAATGGCATTGTATTATGAACAATAAAAAAGTATTACAAGTAATATGGTCCAAAATTGGCACTGGATGAGAAAAAATCAGGTTTTCGTTGGATGAGGTAGCGTAACTGGACTAATCAGTTCAGATATCGGGATATCAGATTCAAATCCTCGTTTGACTGTCACATATTAGCAGAGTTCTAAAAACGACGTTTCTGACATTTCATTAAATATCTTATAAGCCGGCTAGTAGAGAAACTTTATAAAATCTACAAAAAGAGGGGGGGGGGGGAGTACTTAGTGCAGGCATATTGCAGATGAGAATTATGAATATTCTTGGAACAAAAAAAGATTAACGTAAAGGTGTGAATTATAAAATGCAGTAGAATTGACATGGAAGGAATAAATAAAGAGATAAAAAATCATTTACCATCATTATAAATATACAAATATCCATGTATATACAAATGTTCATTGCGATCCAGGTGCTTATATCATCATTGAACAATTAGTCACTATTGCCGAAAAGGTCATTTGACGCCGGTGTCACATGAAAAATTGACCCGCGAAGAAAACCTACTCAAAAATGCATATATTGTTACCAAAGAAAAGATATTTTTATTTAAATACCCGGATTTTGTGTTGTCATTTTCAATGATTGTTGGTCAGTTTTCTACGGATACCCGGGTAAGATTTCTACGTAGAATTTTGACCCAGGGTTGGTTTTCTACGTGAGTCTCTTTTTTATGTTACACCGGAGATTGTGAGGACGAGGCCAACACCGGGTGGAGGGGGTGGGGCATAATTTAATAAATTGTCCTTCTATGATTCACATTATTGGTGTAAATTTGATCTATTTTTTAATTTCAATGTTTTGGATGCATTGACAGGGCGCTATCCAATCCATTTCCATCTTGCTGGGGATGTAACAGGCAAGGCTGTCGTTGATTCCCTGTCAATCCACAACTCGTACGCACGATGTGTTGTCCTTCACTTTACACATAACTTAGTGGTACGTACTAACACTAAAGCGGCACGATCTAAATTCCTGTGCCAAACTTTTAAGTAAAAAGCTTATTACCCCTTTAGTTCAAGCATTTCTACATATTTCGATGTCCCGAGTCAGTTCTGAAAAACAACAATATGAATAATGTTAGAGAATTGTCTGAACTTTGCTGTCCGTGCGTGGTTTTCAAAATGTGACAATTTTTTTAAGAAGTATTTTGTCGCACCGATATTTTCCTAATCTTACAAAGACTTTGAGAAATAATACAATTTTAATTTACAGATTTACTTGTCGTAAGTTGAAAATCAAATCACAGAAAATTATCAAAATTCAAAAATACCAATTCATGGTTCAATTTTATTTTTTTGTTTCCGTGTTAATACATTTGACTGTAGGCTAATTTACACAAAAAATATGATGCATAAGCATTTACTCAATAGATAGTTTTAAAATGCTGGAATCAAAAAAGAAGAAAATGTTAAACTTCGTACAACAAAGTCATACTGAGGTAGATCTACATATATATATATATATCAAGTTTGTTTGAGTTAGTGACTGTGACCCACAGGGGTCAAATGTTTAAACAGGCCTCACTTATAAGTCTCCAAGCCCTAGAATAATAACATTTGACATTAAGCTTTGCTTGGATAACATATTATAAAGTTGAATAAACTATCTTGCCTTACCCTGAATGTTTCATTAGTAACATAAGTTAGTGTTTATCAATATTTTTATCGGAATGTGTAAAGTAATAATATTAAGTATCTAGTGTTAGCTTGTTTGCCATTAAGGTACATTTGTAAAAAATGATTGTTTAAATAAATTTGAACAAAACCGACGTTGAAGTTCAGAGAATCCAATATAACACATACACTCATGATAGATCCTCTATATACATACACAGTCAGAGTGTGCAATGTAGCTGTACTTCGCCAAGACAGAAATTAATATCTTTCAAATAGTTTATAGTGTAAAATTACATTTGCTGTGCATCCTTCTATGGCAATGCTTTCCGAAGGCAAATGTTGTTGTGAGACTATAACGACATTTTCTATTGTAACGTCATCAATATCTTTTGTCACGTCATCAATTTCAGGGTTGTCAAGACTTAATTTGCTGTTCAATGGAACTGTTCGAAATAACTAAATAAAACGTAACTGGTCTATCAAAATATGAATATAAAGAATTAATATTTTAGCAGATAATGTTACACATTTATATTGCTGACAAACTTATATAAAGACCTACCGGGCTTTATTGAGTTTGTCATCAAGAGCAAAGTGTCTAATAGGGCCATAACAACATTTGCTAAAACAGCCATTGCTTAAATGGAAATCAATGCTATATCTGAATAGGTAACTATTACATCTCTGAACTGACAGTTATGTGGACCCTTTGTAAACGTCTACAAACTTTGCGAAAGGAAACAAAACCAATCTAAACAAAGTAAGCCTTTTTTCATTATTTAAACACTCAAACATATCCGGAAGAAAAACAGAGAGTCCAAGAATTGATTTCTTACGTTAATGACGTAATTTTTTAATCTTGAAGAGTATCACATTATTCATTATGTAAATCCTATAACTCTATAGGATTTGCATGAACTTATCGATGATAATAATGAACACCTCACTACCAAACTCTATAGGGTTTACATGAACTTATTGTATGGTAATAATAATGCGGTACGGAGTTACCTTCCCATTGAGGTAAAAGCTGAAAAAAAAATCCCTCATTAAATAGAATTTTGTCCGTGCCACATTTTTTAAAACAGTCTTAAAGATATTTTTATGAAATCTGCAACGTTTATATATAATAACAACTGAGATACAAAACATCATGTTCAAACCACCAATTTACTTATTCCGTCTTTGCGTATTGCAGAGTTATCTTCTCTTGGGAGCAGGTATTGATTGTTACGTCACTTGTTTGTGAGAGTAACGTCATCAATTTTTGAGAAAACGACGTAATTTTCTCGCACAAATCAATGACGTAACAATCAATACCTGTTCCCAAGAGAAGATAACTCTGCAATACGCAAAGACGGAATAGATGTATTTTGTAGGTTAAAAACACTCTCTGCTTTGAATGTCTTGGACATGGTTTCTTCCTGGAGGATGGAGGCGAGAAGGGCAACAAATTTCACCATAACCTTGCCGTGGCTCCGCGCAGGGCAGGGCTGCCTGATAAAAGAGACCTTATTCCATCAGACAAGTGAGTTACTGTAAGAAGCTCTTTCAATCATGAAATTAGGTTGATTAATAGTCGGACGTTTACGCCTAACGTTTCGATGACTAATACAGTATTTGCTATGTCACCTTCATCAGACAAATAATCAGCGTATATGCATATATAGTTAAAAAGTTTGTACATATTTACATCATTGAATGACGCCGATTTGGCTATAATATATTCGTACGTAAACTTATATAGATTTGGAATCAAACAAAACGTGACCGGTTCAATTAGTCAGTTTGACTTGTTCTTAAATGAATAACAATGACGCGAACACAGACTTGAAGCGTTGTCAAATCGACGTCGATTTCATATTTCATTCACCAATACAATAAGGCAGTGTATACTGGGCGGATCGGTCGAGTGGTTAACACTTCGGCCTTCCACGCAGGCGGCCGGGGTTCGATCCTCGAAGTCGACGCACGCATGGAATATCGGAGAAAGTGTTTTTCTCCTACGCACACAACTCCAACAACCCAGGTGGAGTATAAACTGGTCTGGGGTGGATGTTGCGGTATATGTGATGTAGCATTCAAGTGAAGTGGCACTATAAAAGATGCCATTGGAAGCACGGTCCCAATACAGTACAGAACACAATACATCTTCAAGACATTACAGTATATACCACTACACGACACTACAGATATACCACCACACGACCCAATTGTATGTACTATTACACGACACACACATATATATATACCACTACCGGACACACTTGTATATACCACTACACGACATTACAGATATACCACCACACGACACAATTGTATATACTATTACACGACACATATGTATATACCACTACTGGACACACTTGTATATACCACTACACGACACTACATTATAAACATTATATTCCACTTGACGACAATACAATATTAACCACTTCAAGACATTACAGTATATACCACTACACGACACTACATATATAAACATATACCACTTGACGACAATACAATATTAACCACTTCAAGACATTACTGAATATACCACTACACGACATTACATTATATACCACTACACGACACTACAGATACACAGTGTAGTCCCTGCTATATAAAAACTGATATTTTCTCCATCAGTTAGCCTGTTTTACCCAGTAGCCCTGTATGTTCAATTCCCCCTCCATTTGTCTGTAGCTCATATTTCACACCTGTTTTTATAGGCATCCGAGTGGGTTTTTTGTTACCAACCCCGACAACGAATTTGAGGGAAATGTTGCAGTAGCAGCAGAGGTAAGAAACGTACAGATAGCAAACTGTAAAGGTAAAGACAGCCATTTTTGTAAAGTAAAACAGCACTTGATCAAATCATTTACATTTCTTATAATGTTTGGACTACCGAGCTATCGGCCGTGCGTTGCAAGTTCATTAAAACTATTTTTGTCTAATTAGCACCAAGTTACTGCTGAATGGCTTCTCCTCATAATGGAATGACAACATGATAATATGATACTATGACGTTAGTCACCTCATCAAGATTTCTGGGTAACGGATTTAAATGGCATTTATAAAAAACAGTTTTGTAAAGCAATGACCATGATTAGTAAAGCTAAAGAATTGTATAGGATAGGTAAAGAATCGCATTGTCGCACAAAGATGATTGCCGTTCCCGTTGTAGAAAAGTCGGAATACTCGGTTCAGAAATCTGCAAAGAGTGCAGATGCCATTTTCAAATTGTAGAAACCATATGTGAGGATAATATTTGTGTAGATCCTGTAAATGCAGGACATGGACTCGTATGTCCACAAAAAGTGCCTCTTTTCCAAAGTAAGCCTTTCCATTGCCCTTTTCCCCTTACAACGAGCTGCATGTTTTAGTTATGTAAAACTAGCCTCGGCCGAATTAAAAGTCTAACAAAAAGCATATACTGGCACATATACAAAATATTCATTTTGCTTTAAAGGCTTCGCTTAAATGAATATTGCAAACGTTTAGAAGTACAACAACCTAATAATCATATAACATTGTTTTAATGTAACTTTATTTTTTTATTTAAGGGATATGGATTTCACTTCGCATTTCCGAAATTACCGATGGGTCCGTCAGCAGACCTAAGTAATTTAAAAGAAGGCGAAGCCCTCCGGACCAACCTCAAGTTATTCAGAAAGAACACAGCCCACTCTAACGTGAAGGTAATTTGGTTAGAGGTTTACTACTTAGGTCAGGTAAAACGCCCTGTCATATTTACAGTAAACGTTAAGGACATTCGATGAAAGTTATTTATAGATCTGTAATAACAGTACTTTTGAGGTATATCAAAACTGGTCACATCACCTTTAAACTCTTTAACATTTACCGTAACCTTTTTTTGTATGAAAGTTATGGTCCCCTCACTATCAAACTTGTTAATATTTTCAAGAACCAGGAGTAAGATAATAATGGTCCCTCACCATCAAACCTAGAAAAAAAAAGTAAGAATCTGAAGTAAGATAATAATGGTCACCTCACTATCAAACATAGTTAATTTTTCAAGAACCTGAAGTAAGATAATAATGGCCATCTCACTACCAAAGTCTAAATGGTTTACATGAACTTTTTGTATGATAATCATGGTCACCTTACTACCAAACTCGATAAAATTTAATAGAACCCAACGCAAGATAATAGTGGTCACCTCACTAACCAACTTTCTGGAATTTGCAAGACCCTGAAGTAAGATAAAAATGGTAACATCACTTCTTAACTCTTTAGAACCAATTTTTTGTATGTGATAATGGTCATCCCACTAACAAAATCTAAAGGATTTATATGAACTTTTTGAACGATAATAATGGACACCTCACTTCCGGACTCTATAGGGTTTACATAAACTTTTTGTTTGATGATAATGGACACCTCACTACAAAACTCTTTAAAATGTACATGAATCTTAAATATGATAGTTACGGTCACCCCACTAGTAAACTCTTTAAAATTAACGTGACTCTTATTATAAAATAATGGTAACTTCACTACCAAACTCTATAGGATTTACATGAACTTTTTGTATGATAATAATGGTCACCTCAAAACCAAACTCTTTAAAATTTACATGAATTGTAAGTATGATAATGACGGTCACCTCACTAGTAAACTCTTTAAAATTAACGTGACTCTTATTATGAAATTAGTGGACACCTCACTACCAAACTCGTTAGGATTTAAATGAATTTTAAGTATGATAATTACGGTCACCTCACTAGTACCCTTCAAAATTAGCATGACTCTTATTATGAAACTAATGGTCACCTCATTACCAAACTCTATAGGATTTAAATTAACTTTTGGTATAATAATAATGGACACCTCACTACCAAACTCTATAGAATTTACATGAACTGTTTGTATGCTAATAATAGTCACCTCAAAACCAAGCCCTATTCAATTGGCAAGAAACTTGAGTATTAGTCTATATGACACTAATCGTCACATAACCTGCAAAATCGATAAAAGTAACATGAACTTCAGTATGACTATAATGATAACCAAACTACAGTGTATCAAACTTTGATTTAATATAATGATCCAGAGCCGGATAAAAAAAAATCTGTATTTTTTAATAGAGTCGCACCGTTGACGCATAAAGTATAAAAAACAGATTTTTTCTGTAATTGCCATGATGAAAGGCTTGTTCACCATGACGTTTATTGTCTGTGATGAAATATTTTCTTGGATCGGAGATTTTCATTGGTGGTGCAGAAAAAAAGTCAATTTATTCGGCCATATTGTTTCGCTTCCAGTTCTGACGGCGGCCATCTTGTTTCGTTTTCAGTTTTTACTGCTGTTTACAATTTCTTTTATTTGTTTTGATGACTTGTCATTTCTTCTTGTTAACATTTTCCTTTGACTGAAATATGAAATTTGTTCCTGTTTTTGACAAGGTTGTAAACTTCTCTTTTCCTTTCGAATCTTTTGAAAAGATGGGAGTACGTATAGGTGTCACACTAAATGAAGAAGGTGAAGAGAAGTGGTGGAGTGTAGGTTATGCCCCACGTTCAACGCCGACAGACGACGCATCAGACCTTGCCAAACTTGAGCTTAGCTGTGTAACTGGTGAGTCTTAATGTTCAACTTATGAATGCTCAACATGAACATGAACACTATTATATAATTATGCAAAGGTTTACATACAGCGTCTTCATACAGATAAGTTAAAAAAGTAATAATAATAGTCAGGTTAAACGAGACAGGGTTTGTATAGAGATAGATTGATTTTAGTAACAGCGATGTGGAAGCTTAATATTGTTCTTTGGGAGAGGTTAATGTAATTATCATAGTTATGATGGTCGATAGGTTTAAAAACAAAACTTTCAGTTCAAATAAAAGCACGGGCTAAAAATAGAGTATTCTTAAACGAGTACATATAATAGTTATAAATAAGCATAACTGAACGTAATTCTAAAACGGATAAAGATAATAGGTTAAACTAACCATCGCTGAACGTAATTATATAGCAGATGAATATAATAGTTATAATTAATCACAGCTGAACGTAATTCTAAAACGGATAGATTTAACAGTTATAACTAACCACAGATGAACGTAATTATGAACGGATCAATATAAAAGTTACAACTTACCAGAACTTAACATAATTCTGAGACAGATGAATATAATATTTCCTATTAAAACACAGGCTTAGACAAATATAGATAATAGATGTAATGGTAAAATCGCTCAGAGACTGCATTCTAGTACTAATAAATATTGAAGTTCTTATTCGGAAAATCTATTTCGAAATAGAGCAAAATCTTAAAAGAAATTCGGGAAAATATGTGTTTTCCAGGACAACACGAGAAATGCCAGTACATGCATCCTTAACTCGGGGTAGGGCTGGGAATCTGAGACCTTTTTATCGTATATGTTTACATATATGAAAATAAATCGGGCGTTTCTAGTGCGCATGTGTATATTTCTTTTACATTTAAATTCCAAACTAAAGCAAGGATTTTTCTTCGAAATTAGTGGACATACGTCATGCAAAATTCGTAATAGGAATTCCATTTTAGTTACTGAAAATCTCGATGTTTTGTTTCTGAACTAATTAAGTGTAAATATGCATTAACCAATTTTATATGTGATTGCAGCGTATAATAATGGAGAAACCAATGTCCAAATCAGAGCAGCCAAACTATCATTGAAGAATTTTTCGTAAGTATATATATCCTTCAAACAAACATCAAAACATCAAAACGAATCAATTTTATATGTATTCTTGTAAAATGTTGCATTTTTATTAAAAGACACAACGAAAGTAGCAGTTACACATAAGGAAAGTGTATCAATAAACCACAACGAAAATGTATCGGTTAAACACAACGAAAATGTATCAGTTAAACACAACGAAAGTGTATCAGTTAAACACAACGAAAATGTATCAGTTAAACACCACGAAAATGTATCAGTTAAACACCACGAAAATGTATCAGTTAAACACCACGAAAATGTATCAGTTAAACACCACGAAAATGTATCAGTTAAACACCACGAAAATGTATCAGTTAAACACCACGAAAATGTATCAGTTAAACACCACGAAAATGTATCAGTTAAACACCACGAAAATGTATCAGTTAAACACCACGAAAATGTATCAGTTAAACACCACGAAAATGTATCAGTTAAACACCACGAAAATGTATCAGTTAAACACCACGAAAATGTATCAGTTAAACACCACGAAAATGTATCAGTTAAACACCACGAAAATGTATCAGTTAAACACCACGAAAATGTATCAGTTAAACACCACGAAAATGTATCAGTTAAACACCACGAAAATGTATCAGTTAAACACCACGAAAATGTATCAGTTAAACACCACGAAAATGTATCAGTTAAACACCACGAAAATGTATCAGTTAAACACAACGAAAGTGTATCAGTTAAACACCACGAAAATGTATCAGTTAAACACCACGAAAATGTATCAGTTAAACACCACGAAAGTGTATGAGTTAATTATGAAAAGTTCTTTTTGCATAACCAATAAAATGTCCTATGTGACGTTTCGATGACTAGTACGATATGTACACTGATACCTTTATCAGACAAATGACCAGTGAAGCGTATGCACACAAAAGTGTAAAATGTGTACGAGTTGTCCACAAAAATCGATGTCGATTCGGCTACGCTGTAAGCCTATGTACAATAGTTGTTATACATTTGTGTATGTACCGAAATGACTCGATTTAGCTGTCCTTTGTTTAATACTTGGTAATAGGTTCTGATACAACGAACGAAAATGTATCGGTTAAACACAACGAAAATATATCAGTTAAGCATAAGTAAAGTGTATCAGTTAACCACAACGAAAATGTATCAGTTAAACACAACGGAAGTGTATCAGTTAAATACAATGAAAGTGTATCAGTTAAACACAATGAAAGTGTATCAGTTAACCATAATGAAAGTATATCAGTTAAACACAACGAAAGTGTATCAGTTAAACACAACGAAAGTGTATCAGTTAAACACAATGAAAGTGTATCAGTTAAACACAATGAAAGTGTATCAGTCAAACACAATGAAGGTGTTTAAGTTTAACACAACGAAAGTGTATCAGTTACACACAAGGAAAGTGTAACACAACGAAAATATATCAGTTGAATATTTTTCTTATTTAGGGTCGCAAAGGGCATAACGGGAATAGAAGTATTGAGGTGAGTGATTTACTATATCCGCTCTTTGTTGATATGTTTGTTTATGGAGTTTGTACAACATTTTGAACTTACAGTAAACAAATGAATTAATCGTTTTTTAATCTTTTTTATTAATTTATTATTAGTACGTTTATGATTACACACGTACAAGTTCTGGTATCTTGTCACCATTGGGATATTTACATAAGCTCCAGTTATAAACTAAAAAGTGGTAATTGAAATATAATAATTGCTTTGGTTGACTTTATAATGTGATCAATTCAAATGGTCTTCAAACGGTTTCAAATGAAATGCTTCGCAGTTTACTAAACTGGTAACAAAAACAACTTGCTCCTCGTATGTGATTGCCTCAAATGAGCTTAATTCAATACCCATTTAAGATCGAACAATTCAATATTCAATCCTTAAATACTTTATTATGTATTAATATCTATTTAAATAAAATGATTCATTTTATAGGGGTAAGAGTGAGAAATATCATAATTTTGCTATACCCTCAGCTATAGACATTTTCAAGTTAAATACAAAAAACAAAAACAAAAACGGACAGCACAAAAAGTGATGACGCGGTATACCGCAATGTTTAAAGTTGAAGTTGATGAACTACGAAATTTCTGCGCAAGATTCATCTGTTAAGAACTAAAAAGAGTTGTCTGTATTTTTCAATTAAATCATAAGTGATACATGTAACTATGATTAGTTTTGGTATTGTATAAAAGTGCTCAGTTTTCGATTTATTCCGTATAATCCCAAATTAATCCTGATCATTTCTCATGTAATTGTATAAAGTTGCATACTTTAAACATTAAAATATTGTTTTGGTTTGTATTGAAACATATAAAAATGTAGACAAATAATCCAAATTTAATTACAGATCAATTAAATCTGAAGTGTATGAACAGGAGATAAAGGACAGTATTATCCTTGGAGATCGTGAGAAGGGCCAAGCAGAGGGAGACAGTTCGTATGTATTAGACAATTAACATAATAATCGATTAGACAAAAAGTCATTTTTTGTGTTCATGGTAAAAACACATCTATAATTACAACTGTTTCAAATGACCTTATAATCCAATTCTATTAACGATTATTTTTCGGTATTTCGGTCCATGTACCATCCTCTCAAAATACAACACACAGTGTGGTAAATATAAACCATTTCCTAGATATATGATACATATTGGCTGTTATTCCATTTTCATGATAATGCACATATTGACTGTGAACATCAACGCTGTAATCAGATTTATATTATTTGATACTACAGATATTGTAAATATGTACCTATTTTGACTGTAAATATTGATATATTGACAGCGAAACTTGACATGGAACTTCTGTATTGTTTCCAGTGACGACGAACCTAGGGTGGGATTGGAGTTTATTGGGCCAGTTAGTCTGTCAGGATTGTATTTCGACGATTTCTACAAATCTGTAAACTACCCGTCTGGTGCCCTTGGATTTGCAGGAGGAAACTCTGAAACAATTACTGGAAACGTAATGGGAGACGAAATTTATTTCGGCTTTGCAGATGTATGTATATTTCAGATACACATATTGCATATTATATCCCTCAGGCTTTCAAGAATGCAAATACGATACAAATGTCACATTAAGTTTTATTATCATCCATTATATCCATTATCAATCATGCATCGCGAATCTCTTCGTAAATATAAACTGCATAGTCATGTAGCATTTAAAGTACTGGCAAAATCGAAATATTTATAAATATAAACTGTGTTAAGATCTCCAAATATTTTATACTTATAAGTATAAAAACTTTGAGATATTTTAAGGAACAATCCCAAACTGCTCTTAGATTAGGTACTACAAGAATAGAAAAAAAAAGTTTAACAGTGTACATGTCTTTTAAATTTATACCCTTTTCTTTACTTGTTAATACTACTCAATGGTTGAAGCATGTCTTCCCAAAATATATTTCCAATTATTTACACATGTACATGCATGTCTTGTATACTTCTTCTACGCATGCTATAATTCATAAATGACTGGTTTAACGCACCTTCCTTTCATCATACGTTTGACCAATTGAAATTTCCAACTGTTTTGTCATTGCAACACCGATGAGACCTGGAAGGACCAAACCGCTGTATGGTACAGTGTGATTAATAATAAAAATAGACATTTGATATAGCGCCCTATCAAGTGAGATTTAGCCGATCTAAAGCGCTTTACAGTTCATACATATACAATTTATACACTCATTACCATTAGATGTATACATTAATCAATACAATTTTAAGGAATTTTCAGGAGCTGCCTTATCAGGCGCTAACTACTCGTCCTATGCCACCTGGCTAAATATCCCTATGTGTGTATGCTTGTGCGTGTGCTGGATATGTCTTGTGTTCTGTTTGTAGTGGGACCGTCCTTCCAACGGTATCATTTATAGTGCCACCTCACTTGAATGCTGTAGCACAGTTACCGCAACATCCACCCAGACCATTTTATAATCCACTTGGGTTATTGGAGTTGGGTGGGCAGGAGAAGAATACTTTCTCTGAATATTCCATGCGTATGACGACTTCGGGAATCGAGCCCCGACCGCCTGCGTGGAAGCCCGGAGTGTTAACCACTCGACCAATCCGCACATGATTCAATGTATTAAAGTTGCAATGATTCGTGATAAAACGGTCTTCATATTTACATAAATTGACCACATCGTTCGTATTTCCCACAGAACAATAAATCAATGACACTGCAGGCTCTTCTACTTAGTCATATCGTGCCCTAGTGATACCGATTTTGAGCAATTACGGTTAAGTGGATAGTTTGGTATTGTCTTGATTTTTTTCACAACCTGAACCGTTTTATTTTTGATACCAATTAAAAAAATAGAGATTCATCATCTCAAGATATGTGATAAGCATTAAAGATGTTTCAATTAATAGATGGATACACTTGACATCAGCATGATCTTTTCTGTTGATTTATGGATATGTTGTCAGCTACTGTGTCTATGTAAGAAGGAAAAGAGCATGGATTGACTTTTAAAATGTAACGCTATATAAAAAAAAAATCCACCTGATTTTCTCTTTAGTGTTCATCTGATAATCAATGTTCTTATTCCATATTATCTTTCATTAATTGGAATTAACCAGTTGTTCTTATTGATAATGGCCATAGCCCGATGACGGAAGCCGAGTGATTGGGTCTGACACAAATGACGACCGGAAAGGAAACTTGTTGGAATCATTTGTTGATGCAGATGGCTTTGTTACGGATTCTGACTCGGCAATGACGGTCCTGAGAAATACACCGTTCCAAGTCACAGATAATTGCTTGAAAAAGTGGGATAAATATGCCGTCTGTGAAGAAGAATATGCCATGGTACAATATTTGCTTATATTCAAAAACAATTATTGTCATTGCACTGAGTATTCACATGTAAATCATTTATATATTATCAGTATGCATGTTGGTGAATATATTGCGATAAATGCGTAATTACACCAATGTTAGCGAAACAATAAAGCGACATGTTATCGAAAGAATAGCGAACCCCGGTGGAGATATTGAAACGATTAAGATTTCTAAAATATATTCAGTACAAGTGATTTTTACATATCAGATATCTTTATTTGAACATATTAAAAAGGAGATCAAAACATTTAAAATACTTCAGGTGGATACAAACAGGGCTGCCGACATATTTAGGGTGCATGGTGATACTAAAGTGAAACTTGACGTGGAAAAGAATACTCCATTCAACGTCCTCGCCAACAATCCGGACTACCTCTATCTTGTTAACTATGATGCTTTCAATTTTGCCAAATCTGTCAATGTTCGGACTTTTGATGCTAATGAAGGGTAAGTTAGGCCAATGATATGTTATTTCGATTATCAATTTGGTTTTTTTGAATATTTCATGATTGATATTGTTATGTATTTTTCATATGTATTGCCAAGAAAGAGAGAAACATTCGTAATTTATCGATAAAGTGTTCGAGGAATTATATATTGCCTTTTATTTTTTAAACAAAAACAAAACATTTCAAGTTGTTAGAAATGTTATACGCTATACATTGATTTCTTTTTCTTCTTTTTTTCATAATAACAAACATTTTAATCATATTTTATATCTCTTTTGGCAGAAAGAAGTTTGTGATTGGTTTCTGTGTTCCAACGGGCAATGTTGAGTTAAAAATTCAATATAGCAACGCTTTAGTATTTAACAAAACGGAATCATTCAATGACTTGTCTACCAGCTCTGAAAACATATACTTCCAAGACGGCAAAAAAGGGTACGCATTTTCAAGTTTCGATTGATGGAATTGAACGAATATGTCAATAGTATTATTATTCACATGCGAAATGAATTCAGCGGTGAAACACAAATGGCAAAAATATTATCAAGATAACGTCTTCGAAATAAATCAATACGCAACTAAGACATCGTTACAGGGGGGAGGGGCTATAAAGCACTGTCGGCGTCCTCATATAATTACAAAAACATTTTGTGGGAGTCTATTAAACCTGTCAAAACCTCGACAAGAATTCCGGTCAATAGTGATATTCGAATCCGTATAGGTATATCAGTGCTACAGCTGTGGAACCGCACAACATTACACTATGTGCGGTGTGCGCACGATGTGTGCATGATGTGCAAACGATACAAATCTGGACTATCATTGATAGCGCAAATTTGTGTGCACGGTGGACGAACGTTTTACGGTAAAAATCACGGTTGGTGTAAATTGAGGAATGGCTCTACAGTACATATGGTTTCGTGTTAAAACTTGATTTGTTAGTATTTTTCTCTATTTTAGCTACATCTATAAGCTTATCTTTCTGTCTATACTTTCTTTGATTTAAAAAAATGCGTTTCGGTGTTTTTTAAACGACCTTAATCGACACATGTAAAATTACAACAAATATAGACACGGTCCCAATATATATAGCAACTCTGTACATAGCTTTCCTCGCCCAGTGCACTTATGTTACTCGTCGTTGTGTGAAAATCGAGTAGAAGGGGATTTCATAACGGTCTTACGGTATCGCATAAAAGCTCAATTTGTCAGGCACAGGCAAGGTAAAACTCCGGTCGCTCATCAAAATGTTATCTGCCTGTTCTGTTACCTTGGAGCCAAACCCTTTCTTGACAGTCGAATGGTCACTGTAATACTGTGTAACACGCATTGTAAAAATTATACATAGTCTTAAATATTTAGATGAAGAATAAATGTATACAGTGTACTTTATTGCATACGAGCCTTCCGTATTTTTGGATTCCGTAATATTGATCAATAACCTGTACCAAATTGCATAGTTGTGTGGAGAAAAGCGCACAACGGGACGATTGTTAAATCGCACAGTAGTGCGCACTATGTGCGCACTCTATTTTTGGTGCGTTATGCGGTCACACAACTTTTCATTTAGGAGAGCGATAATACTTACTCTTATGCACTTCCAACAGATGGTGCGGAGAGTTTACTTGTATTGGCTATAATTACATCCATATTGTATTGCATTGTATAAATGAAAACGTCCTACCGGTGCACTAAGTGCTGCAGCCAGGGTAATATGACTTCATACACTTATCTCCCTTGAGGAGGACAACGTGTGTAAAGGCATGTATGTGAATTTCACTTTTGACAATGATATATGTGAAACTTGGTTAATATTTTGCATATAACTACTGAAGCTTAAATCATGTACATGTAATTTCAAAGATTCAGGCTCCTCTATGGGTAGAGAATGTCCTGTGGCTTTTTGTAACCATGACCTCTGTGGTTTTGCTTTAAGAACGGAGTATCCGTGTCTTCACGACTCAATTGTAGTTTTCACTTGTGGCATTCTCATCAATACAGCCCGGAAAAATAGAATACTCCAAATATTAGAAATACTTGTAGTTAATAATTTCGCAATAACATAATGTGCTTTCAAGGTTGAATGAATCCGACTAACTGTATAATACTATTTGTATAGCATGATTCAAGAGTATTCTCTATAATCGTTGGCTATATTTTTGAATTTCAATTGCAGGGTTGTCTTCGTCAATTTTGTTGGACAGGAAACAGATAGCAGCAGTGAGCAATATTGTGTGGACGATTATGGCAAGAAAGGGATTTGTCGTAGTTTATCCATCAGAGTACGAAAGGGTGTTAAAGAAATTAACGATTGTATTGCCAGCGCCATCAAAGAATATCCAACATCGCAACAGGTGCGTAAACATGATTTTTTAAGTATATTTATCATCTTTCTTCGCAAATATTTTGTTCAAGCAAACTGCTCTTTTATATAAATGTTAAGGAGACGACCATCTGCTCCCCATATGTGTAGTTAACGCGATTTTTTACTTCACAAATTCTGCTTCGGGAAACAGGGAATTGGCGAGAATATTTAACTCAGACAAACAAAACTTTAAGAATTGTATGCACACTATATTCTTTCATATTTGACATACCTATTACGCATATGATTTAATTTATAAAATGGTTTCTGAACCATTGCCAAAATAAAGAATGAAAACTTTTTTTCCGGCATGACTACAGCTTAAAAAAACTTTAAAAATGTATCTGTAATGAAAACAAAATAATAAAGATAAAATGAAAAAGAAAGAGTGAATGAAAAAAGCAACGTAACTCTGAAAGTAAAACGCAACGGAGTCAGATGAGGATTCGAATCCTAGACCCTAAATCATTATACTGTCGCTCTAACCTACTGCGCTAACTCGTCTAAAGTAGTACCGTGGCTAGGTCTCGCTGCACTGTTATTCACAACGAAATCATGTGGAAGTTACTGTGTGTAAAACGTACTGTGAAATTTGAACAGGTATTATTATGAGAATTAATCCTGGGGAGTCGGTATTCTGTATAACAATGAGAGCCCCTTGGTATAGTTATATCCGTGTTAGTGATAGGCACCGTCGCATTAACTGGGCCAATATCAAAATCATAACTATTTAGCATTTCAAACAAAATGCTCTTCAGAAGAAAACTCGTGAAAGACTCAAATGATCACTAAAATACAAGTAAATGAAGTAAATACATACTTACTGCAACGTATGAATATTTTTAGCATTTATAACACATCAGTGATACTTGTACTTAGGACGAAAGGAACGACAATGAAAGTCTTCATGTTTCCTAAACATATTTTACATTACAGCTAAAGAGGTAGGTATGTACCTCAAAATGTTTGTAAAATGCTACAAATTTTCAACTTCTGGTTTAAACCTTTATATTTTAACTTTACAGCCAGCGTCGGAGGGCTGAGTCCACCAGCATATTGAATCACATTGTTACTAATTCAAAAATATATTTATCAAGTCGATGCAGTTACCTAACTTCCTTTGTCAGATAGTGCCGTCGTCTATTTCGAAATAGTAAGTCGTACTGAAGAAATAAAAAGATTAACGAATCATATGTTAGAGTGCAGCCAAACGGGAAAGATGAATATATAAACCGTTTATAACGTTACAAAGGATGGTGCAATATTTGGCTGTTTTACGGCCTCTAACCGATAAGCATAGTATTTGCATGAAAATGCCTTCAGGTTAAACCGATATAAATTGTTATATATGATCATCTGTTTGACCCCTAGCGGGTATAGGGGGTAACCTGAGGGGCAGGAAAATGACATATCTTTCGTTTATCTGCTCATAAAAAAGATATCCATCAAAACATAATAACTTAGTGCACATCAGTTATTCATGATATGTTTTGACAATATAACATCAATAAACAATTATCAAAACAAGAATAACTTACTTTTAACTCGATTCAAAGTAAACCCTCATTTTTATCATAAAGCTTTGTCAAATTCAGTGAAAAGAGAATATTGAATGCACCTTGAGTTATCTCATTTAACTCACAGGAGGGATATTTGTATATATTATTAGGTCATAAAGTTTTCTTCTGTTCAAGGGTGTAGTTGACTAAATACATCTCTAATGGTCAGGTCATTTTTACGGTTGTCCTTTTCACTAGAGGCTCTTAAAAAAATATTTCCACTTTTGACAATTGATCTAAGAAATAGTAAGTAACACATTTTTTAAATACCATTTATTAAATATGAAGGACATAATATAAGATTGAAAAAATAGGTACACTGAAACGTCATTAAAAAGAAATATAATAATGAAATGACTAGCTGCTAGCTGACATGACAATCTCACATATTGACTCGTGTATGTATACATGCAATTGGCTTCCTGTCCCTGATAATTTCGCTAAAATACTTTCGATACATTCCATACAATTACTTCGCACATCCGTTTTTATTCTGTATTCAGACAATTAATTATATATTGGATCAAAAAATAAGAAATATTTAAATTGAAACGTAAATAAATATATACATGTAGCAAAATAAACGTTCTTGGAAATGAGCCACTTCAGTCTATTTTTATGTTATTTACTCATTTTATTTGCATTGATGTTTCCTCAAAATTATCATCAACCCTTACAATTGTTCATAAAAATGAATCTATTTATACAAGCAAAAAACCGCTGTATGCCTTAAATTGGAAACTTGGCATTTACCACAAGCTACTTTGACCAGCAATATAAAATGTTACAATTTATGTAGGTCGGACCAAACAGTGTCATTATGCTAAAAGAAATGCTTGTTGCCGAGGCGAGGGGCGTTCAGCAGCCGAATATGGCATAAATCTTTTCCAACTTTTGATTTAAACAGATTGAAATCAAAATAAGTGTTTTAAATGCTGATATATTTGCATTTATCACTGCCCCTATTTCAACGGTAGTTTCAACTATTTTATTTAGTCCGCAAGGTTAGCGGTCATTTGTGATGGCCAGGAAAGTAATGGAAACCTCTTCACATTGTCATATAATTTACTAGTTTTATGTTTAACACGACTTTGCCATCGAAACCAGTAGTGTTGACTAAAAATGAGTGCAAACTGATTTAGCCCGTCTCTCAGTAACACATCATATTGATGGAGTAAATTAGAGTTTTACTAAGTTTCGGATCTTTGGTTTTAAGTTTTATAAGTTTTTAATCCAAGGTTTTATAAGTGTATATTTCAAATCGTGTGTCACATATTTTGGTCTATACTTTAAATGATTCAATGGTTATCTCCTAAATATTTAGACCCCGACTGTAAATATCAATACAAACTGTTTTAGCCTGCGAGACGAGTTGGTGAACAACAGAAGGAGCGAAAGACGGTATGTATTTTGTATGTAAAACAAACACATGCATATATAATTAAATTTGTCAAATGCTTTCGCGTCTAGTCTTTTGGCAGGTTAATGTTTTCTTTCCTATTGTTGGATTGTAGCATTGTAAAATAAAGCGAATGTGGGCTTTCTTTCGAAAATATGATGCATATATTAACATATTTTAAACCGAGTCGTTTTCTTAATGGCACACATATTTATGTAACTTGAAATGATAATTAAATAACATTTATGCTATTTGTAATTGAAAGAGATTTTATAAGCAGCTGGTAGGTGTTGCATGGTATTGTTTTATGATGTTTGGGTTGTCTCTTTGGTAGCTCCTGACGAGAACTGAGAAGAGGTTATTTGATCTGATTCAGAAGCTGGAGGACAACCAATCCAACTATGCCGAGCGTATCGCTGTAAGTCAGTTTCTACTATCAGACCTAAGAATAAGGCATCCGCTGCGATGTGTCCTTTTTGTGAACTCATGTAGTACTAGTAGTTTGATGATTTCAGAAAGTAGTCTACATCAGGGAGGCAACATTTATTTGAAAATTGACTAGATTAATCATTCATTTGAGTATGTCTGATATGTTATTGCTCAAATATAAATATTTGTATAGTTTCTTAATCATAAAAGCCATTTACTATCCAAACATATGTTTTTACCGGTTTAATTTTCTCTGATTTAGCATTTCATCAGCATGTTTACACTAACATGGATGGTTTGACTTCCCCAACTGCATTCGCGAGTATGTGATCAATGGATAATTTTGAAATATATAAATTAAACTCAAACATTTCTTGGAACGGTTTAAAGGGTGTTTTACAATTTTTTTTCCTTTTTTTTCTACTCATATAAACTTTTATATTTTTAAAACAAATAAAAATCAAGTTTATCATGTTATATAAATCGCTCTTGTTGGCCCGAATGATTGCGTACAGGGATTTGATGCAGGAGGACACTGGAGAAAAGCCATGTGGTTGGGATTCGTTTCTTTTTATTAGCTCACCTGGTCCGAAGGACCATGGTGAGCTTATGCCATACCGCAGCATCCGTCGTCCGTCGTCCGTCGTCCGTCCGTCAACTTTTCCTTTAAAACGCTACTCGTCATGAACGACTGAGCAGAATTTGACCAAATTTTGTCATAAGCATCCTTGGGGGAAGGAGAACAAATTTTGTATTAATGGTGGGTCTGGCCCCCCTGGGGTCTGAGGGGCGGGGCCAAACAGGGGAAATATAACAAATTCTTTAAAACCCTTCTTCTTCCGTAGGAATGAAAGGATTTGTTCCATATTTGGTCTGAAGCATCCTTGGGTGAAGGGGAACCAATTTTGTATAAACCGTGGGTGTTGCCCCCCTGGGACCTGAGGAGCGGGACCCAATAGGGGAAATATAGGTAAAACCTTTATAATCCTTCTTCTACCATAGGGATTAAGGGATATTATCCTAATTTAGTCTGGAGCATCCTTAGGCAAAAGGGACTCAATTTTTTATAAACGGTGTGTCTGACCCCTCTGGAGGCAGAGAAGCGGGCCCAATAGGGTAAATAGAGGTAAAACCTTAAAAATCCTTCTTCTACCATAGAGATTAAGGGATTTTATCCTAATTTAGTCTGGAGCATCCTTGGGTCAAAGGGACTCAATTTTGTATAATTGGCGGGTATGACCCCCTATGTTGCATATAGGGTTGGGGCTATGTTTGAAGTTTGTTCTCGCTATATCTCAAGTACTGGATGGATCTTTCTGAAATTTCATATGTACTTACAGCACCTACTTCATACCAATTATTTTAAACATATTCATGTGAGCGATACAGGTCCTCTGTGCCTCTTGTTTCTTTTACTTTCGCGGTATCAATTTTCTATTTCTTGAGTTCAAATAAACCTGTGCATGTTTATACTTGATTATGTGTAGATATAATAATAACAAAGCGTTTTTGGTTCGACGTTCAAGGTGGCCGTTGTGCCCTCCGATTAATAGAGATATTTTAGATTATAACTTGGTGGTTTTATTTGGCCGATGTTTCTAGTGTCATACTTTAGATCAAATGACAGACATGTAGGTGTCGAAATCCAAGATACCTGACATAACATCTTATCGGCTGAGTCAATAATGGTTATCAGTCGAGGTCTATTTTACCAACTTTGTTTCTACTTTGTGGTTTTGTCCTTTACATTAATCAACCAGTTTTTTGTTAGGATGACAATGAACGATGTTGCCTCCTATTTTCCAAAACATTTACAAGAATTACAACAACAGTAATATTCGACTTGTTTGGATATTACTAGTAAAACAGCGCGGTCAAAAAAATGCATTTTTCTTTTTCAATGAGATTTGGGACTCTTCGTTACATTTTCTTTTAAAATTTGCACTTGTTACCAGTGAGATCATTTACAAGTAAATCAATCACATTCAAATTAAAAATCATTTTGAACATAAAACGAAAACTATCAAACGCATTTCTGCCTTTTCTATTTCAGCAGGAAAATCAGAGGCGGAGACTGAAGAGGAATGTAGACCCTAACAGAAGAACCCTCGACGCTCATACCGGTGATATACCTGTTGTAAGTCCGATATGGTTTATATTGACCTGACATATGGCAATTACATAGTCTCTTGGAATTATCAACTGATATCATTTATTTTAAACGTAAGGTTACGTTCGTAAGCATTTTTTTAACAAATCAAACCTTTTTATGACATGATACTGAAGCTATCGTTATAGAAAAATATTAAAATATATATTTTATTGTAGCGTTTTGGTGCCTCCTGTGATGATTCATCAAAAAAGTGAATTTACCTCTCACCACCAGGAAAAACGTCACGAACGACCCGCTGAGTATCCTCCCAATCGACCCCTCCTCCGAAATATTCACTGCCGTTAATGACATGTTTCAATGATACCAGAAGGATTCAGAAGTGATGATGTTGTGATAATGGTTGTCGTTTCAAATTGAAATTTTATCCGGAAATCAGACAAAGATAAGCGTATGTGAAAAACTCTTTTTAAAAAACTTCTGTTGTGACAACCGGAATATATTCCTGTGTGTGAGGCTATTCATATTAAGAACGTTTTTTGTTTTTATCTAGGACTAACAATAAATTTGTCATGAAAGGAAACTTCTTTAACGCGCATTCAAGAATAGTGTGTATTCCTTATTTCAGTTACATTTGTATATTAGTGTGAAGTATATTCTTTTATAACCATTTTATAACATGTTTGTTTGTGCCTTTGATAAGAAATAATTAGAAAAAAAATCTTAAATTCAGAAAACATTAACTCAATGGAATATAACACTCTAAAATGTCCAAAAATAATATTTGCCATAAAAATGTCACAAATATTTGATCGCATATTCTGGAAAACTTATTTCAGTTTTATTATGAAGCTGTGTTAAAAAAACGAAAATATGTCTTGTTGCTTAAGATTTTAAAGTATATCTGCATATTGTAACTGTATTTATATAGTATCAATTAATAAAGCAATTCTCAAAAACTAAAATTGTTACAGTACTTTATATCAGACAAATCAAGATAAGTACAAGATGACGGCTAACGTATGTACTGTTTTGATAGAAACTTTGATTCTTTGTCAGCTTAATCACCAATAAAAAAGTACCAGCCTTCTTTTTTGACAATCTATTCTCTTAAGACTATTTACACATTTTGGAAAGTGTCGTATTTTCGTGATGCAATTATGAAAGGCAGTACCAGGTGTGTTAAGGGTAATGGATGTTTTTCTTACTATCGATAACAACTTATGACGCTCCCACATTCAAAAGGGATTTTCAAAAGCCTGTTACGTGATGTATTTCAGGTTGTATTTGCTTCCGATATATTCAGGCTGAAATAACCTCATTTCAGGGCACCCTACACGCTATTTTAAATAACTCCCCTTTTAGCAGACGCTTCATCCCTTGTCTATGCTGTACTTGTACACGAAGTATGGTCTTCCTACATGAACGGTAGGGCAAATATTAAGTTTGGAGATTTGTATCTCTTTATTTCAGGTCAGATTCAAAGGTCAAGTAGGGGTCGCAGTGTTACTTGCGTTTCTGCAAATACACAAAGTACACGAACTTTCAAGGCGAATACTACATACCCCGAAACGCGATCAGGGGTATGATAAATGTTCGTTCGTTTGAATAGAAACTTCACTATTTCTTGTAAGTCCTCGGTAATAAAGTAAGAAGGAAAGGAAAACACTGATATCGGGGTATACACCTGACCGTCTGTCCACCTGTTCTTCGGCTCAATTAAGTGAAGCTTGGTGCACATTATCCGCACCTCAGATAATTGTGCCCGAATGAGTATTTCCTTTTTCTTATATCCTTGCAAAATATCTGTCCAGGGCAAAACTTACTCCACTGATTTTTATGAAAATTGTTCACATGATCTTAATATCTAGACAGATGTGCACATGTTAATTCCTTTAATTATTTCGAAGCAGTAAGGGCCGTTTCTGAATCCTCTGTATTTTTTTACCTCAGAGAGAGTGGAACTATTTAGTTAGCCTGTGGCTTGTAGTCCTAGTTTCATACATCAGCTATTTGTTCAGAAAACCTGAACATTTCCTCAAGTTGGCACCGAAAACCATTCTTGGGATTTTAAGTTTTCACTTAGAAAATTGCAAATAACTATGATATAGTCAAACATTAAGAAGCACCCCTAAATCCCTAAGATGCAAGTGATAACAAAAACACTCATATGCTGATAAACACTTTATGTATCAATCGTCTTTTGAGTTAATGACAACTTCGATACAAAAGTGATTCATATAAAATTAAAATGGAAGCATAACAAAACAAAAATAGAAAAAGTGGATTTCTTGTTTGACGCCTTCATCATCAGGGTCGAGTTGAGCCTGCTCCTGCGTTCTGTAAGTAAAATAACAGGGTTTTTTTTTAAAAGTTGGTATAATACGGACATATTCATCGCAACTGGTTCGACTTATTACAGGTAAGGCTTGTGGGAATTTTAAGTTACCACCTCTCGGTTGACCGATGAACACAAAGCAAGGAGAAAGTTAATTATTTTACTATTAAATCCGTCAAATATATCAAAAATCATGAGGTCTTATTTAACAATCGTTTTAATTTCGTAGAGTTTGTTATTTCTACGAAAATGTTTTCACAAAATCACGATTAGTCAATTGCTGATTTTTCAAAAGTATTATTTGCAATTAAAATCAAATCTGCCTAAATATTGAGAAATTAAATGACAAAACCTGTAGTGAGTACGACACAAAATAATTTGATCTCAAAATAAAAAATATTACTTTTGGCAAATTTCTACGACTTGTAATACTAGTACGACAGTGTAATGCTATTTTTCAAAGCAAATAAATCTTAATCCCCCTCAAATTTGCGCTAATGTAAATAATTTGAATCGAGAAGGTTTTGAATTTCAAAAAAATATTTTACTCCTAAGTTAGAGTAGTTGTCTTGATTTTAACGTGTGATTTAGGGGTTAATCACGGTTATGACTCCTCATGCCCTGGGTCTTGTTATTTAGCCAACTTAGCTTCCAAAGATTCTTTCAAAGTTGCAATGTGATACAGATAAATTTTATGAGCGCTTATTTCAATGAAAACAGATAAATACGAACCCAAATACACTTGCAGGATAAGTTGATATCTGACTTAGAGATGTCATGATGAACCGCTTTCTGCCTCGAATATTATATCTATTTATATACATAAGGACCACATCTTACCTGAGGAGGACTAGGCGACGAATGAACCAATTCTGCCGGTAACTCCAGTGAACCCTGAGCAACCTGATCAAACAGAATAACAGATATGGCTTTAGATGCTCGTAGCTTAACACAGATAACCCAAAATTAAAATGCAATACAAAAATACAGAACAGGAAAGAGTGAGACACTAAAGAATTCTAAACCGGACTGAAAAAGTGAGAAATAACGAGTCATGTGTCAAATGTGACACTGCCCTTTTGTTTCAGTCAAATCCATGCTGATTTTAGTTATCAACATTCTAATACACTATTGACAACATTACAGCAGACACTGAGACACTGAATCTCGATCTTAAAAATCAACAGGTCATAAATTTTGCTCGAGTTATATTTAATTCCGAATTTTCGATTTTCGCAGATTTCGTTTAATGGTCAGTTTCGTAGGTATGCTCTTTTCCAGGTTTCAGAACAAATGGCTATTAGCCAAAATAAATACGGTTGCTGTTGATTTCGTGTTTACCGGGAGTAAAATATCTACACGTTTCTTTGATCGACTTGTATATCCAAAATTGTCCTTTTGTGCCCTTTGTGATAATGTTGTCTTTTATTCTGTGATAAACATCTTGAAGCGTGTTTTCACTTACCTGTTGTGTGGCACCATATTTTGTTGTGTATGCTGATTCACAGTCAACTTCTTGACGATTCTTAGTTTCTAGCCGCGCAAAGCCCATAACGGTCGTCAATGACTTGCCCCCATCGTAGGACAACTTTACAAACAGTACCCTGAATTAAATCAATACGTCATGTTTTACTATATAAAGTTTACTATAAATCCTACCTGTCATTTTCATAAGAATAGCATTTACAACACCATATGCTGTTGGCGAAGGACAAATTGATATCTGAAAGGAGGTCAACGCGAAATGAATAAATGCAGTGGTGCAACATGACTGTGGATAAGGTTAAACTATTGCAAAGTAAAGGGCTACACTGGATTGAAGTACATTATGAGGATACGCAATAGTATTGTGGGTATTGCTGGTAGAAGTAACAGTGTGCACAATATTGTAAGTATGGCTGTGGGTAAAGGTACGATTTTCAGTGAGTGTATTACTTTGTTTGAAACATATGACTGTATAGAAGTATTAATACAGGCATAGTGGGTATGACCTTTGGCAGTGTTTCATGTGTAAATATATGACTAGGGTGAGGCAGTTGGATGAATGACCGTGAAGAATTTTGATTATGGATGAATGTATAACGAAGCGTATAGCGGGTAAAATCGGACAGATGGTAACTGTTTATCATTTGATAGTTGTATGACTGTTTAGTGGGTATCGTTATGGAGAGAAGTTTGATTTTAAGTAGTATGATAATTGGGGTTGGATTGTGACTGTAAGTAGATGCAAGACTAATCATAAGTACATGGCTATGTTCGCAGCATTTTGCTTTTATTGCCTTTATTAAATGCATTAATACTTGCATCTGTATTTAACAGATGGTCAAAAACATGCAAGTCATATTATCCTTTTTGAACTGGGAACAAATCAATCAAATAATTCATATGTTAATCTCTATTACAAACGTAGATATAAAATTAATGTAAAATGTGTACATACCCGACTTCCCGGTCGAAGTAATATTTAGACCCGTCACCAGAATTGACAAGATCAACACTGTCCACCTCTGTCATCCTCGCACTGCCCGGCTTCCTCACCATGGCTTTAAATACCAGGTCCTTTGGTACACAGACACCAAGAACGACATCTTGATCCCTAAAATCAAGTTACACTCGATATTTAGTTAAAAATAATCTACCGAAACACAAGTACCATTCAGTTAAAACACTGCTTAAATATACCGGGGTTTTGTTTCCTAGTGTTCCAATCCTCGCATCTATATTGTTACTTATTTTTTTCCATATGTATAAATGAATGACCTGACCCAAAATCTACTATGTATTTCGCGCAACATAAACACATGTAGTATTCATCAAAGAAAACACTTTACGTACACTGCCATTCCCATTCCACGTATCTGGAAAGCATCTTTTGGCAGGATTTTGCCAAACTTGACAAGGTAAGAATAAGTTCCACCTGTCACAACGTTGAACACTGCCTGTCCCAAATTATCAGATGTTTGTCTGTTTGTTTGGAGGTCATCCGTCCTCATCATTGTTGCAGTGTCACCTGTGTCGACTCTTACTAATACCTACAAAAGATATGCATGTACAAGTAGCAAATTTTGTACCAACACGTCGGGATTAAACAGATATTCCATTTAAAGTGCGGTCAAATCTCATGATCAATACGTTTTGAATGATGCCAATAATTCACCATAGAAGTGTTGCTGTTGAAAATTGCTAAGAAGTGGGGAAATATGTATTCACTGTCCAAATATTACAATTTAAACTTGATACGTAGCACATCTTGTACCAACACGTCTGGGGGTAAACAGATATTCCATTTAAAGTGTGGTCAAATCTCATGATCAATACGTTTTGAATGATGCCAATAATTCACAATAGAAGTGTTGCTGTTGAAAATTGCTAAGAAGTGGGGAATTAAGTATTCACTGTCCAAAGATTACAATTTAAACTTGATACGTAGCTTTTTCAAATATAGGTATAAACATAAACACATGTGCATAACTGAATGTTGCTTCTTAATTAGTGACGGCATCTGCCTTGTTAATGTGAATAGATCGCCGAAGAGGAAAAAACATAATAGATAATGGTTAAAATGAGGCTTCATGGCATGAAGCAGTAGCGTGTGTAAACGAGCTAACAAACGGTGTATGGAATACAAATAACTTTAATCAAACGAAATCTAGAATTTCAAACATGTAATAGCCACAAATGAGCTGGACAATGTCACGATGGTAAAATGTCTGATCGGCTTATCCCAGTGGACAAAACATGTAAAAACTAAATGAGTCCAAGAGTACATAAGTAGCAAAAATAAACGGTGCCATAGAATTCTCGCCTAGCGATTTCAATGGTATCAAAAACACATTGTTTTATATCAATTGCAATTTGTTGTTTTGAACAATAAATATGAGTTTAAACTGTATCTATAGTGAATTACCTGTGCAAAGTGTTCTTTACAAACAGCCATTCCCCAGTTCTTTCTTTTCGTACAATTAGATGTCATTTGAAATGGATTTTCTCTTACAACGCTGGCACCAGGAATTGAGGTAACGGAACCAGAAGCATCAAAAAATCTGTCACTCTTACTCCCATCACGATAATCTTCAGGATTTTCGACCTGATGAACTCTGTTTCCCTCTGACGACTGAAAACATAAAACATTGTCAAATTTCAGATTTTTTTCAATACTTCAATACAAACTGCAAAAGAATAATATTTTTGAATATGAGCAAGACATCCTTTTAACGAGTAGAACGCCAATATATTAGCCGGTATATAGTTAGAACGTTGCCGTCATTGACGATACATGTATTATGCTAATTATGAGAAAATGTTATTTGCAAATAATCCTAATACGTGGACTGGGCGTCTTGAATCATTCATGGCATTTGCTCCATCCGACTTTATGTTTATCATTTTCATTTCTCGCCAAGATTATTCACTGCTTATTTATGTCTGTTTGGGTTTTTTCCTTTTTAATAATGTTTACAATAATGCATGCTCATTGGTATATTTTTCACCAACTTAATAACAAGTATGTAAAAAAGCTTACATCATCGAAGCCGAATCCAATATTATCTAGGATATTTCCAGGGGAACTTAGCATGCCGTTGATTTCCTGAAACGAAATGGCCCCTGCCTCAGTATCAGATGTGTTTGCAAATCCGTCAAACCACACATTCCTTGCAATCATTGGTCCGATTCCAAAGATGAGTCCTTTTCTCGGTCTTTGCCTTCAATGACGTAGTTTTAGAAAGTATATTATTAAAATCAGTTAGGTATTGCACCTATAGCAAAATACATATTACAATGCGCAAAGTTCTTTAAAGTCAATTCGTACAATGCATAATTCCTCACAAGTCTTGTATTACATTGAATACATTTAAGCCTTTGTTATACTTCAATAAATACAGTATTGAATTAAAGTGGTGCTTGTGTGCTCATATGCTATGTAAGATATCTATGACAGTATTGAATTAAAGTGGTGCTTGTGTGCTCATATGCTATGTAAGATATCTATGACAGTATTGAATTAAAGTGGTGCTTGTGTGCTCATATGCTATGTAAGATATCTATGACAATGTTTGAAATTGTCGTGTAAAAGTCGTGTATTAAAATGAAAAGTATCAAAGGAGTATGCTATAAAGTTGTTACAATAAAGCTTACAACGAGCCTTAAATTACTATTCAAGAAAAAGTTAAGTTATAGCGAGTCTTGTATCACTGAGCTATGCACTTAAAAGAAATGGAATTCGTGCGTGTAAACGTTCATGTTATGACTCTATATAAAGTGATCGTAGTGTGGAAATTTGGCGTTGGCATTGGTTATATATCTATCGTTTATATAGCCTATAATAATGTATTCACATTTAAATTTGTGAATATGCTAATTCACTCAGCGCGAAAAATGCCAGCGTTCCCGCACAACAGAAATTTTCACTTTTCAGTATTACATTTGTACAATAAATGGATTATACATATTAATTTAAGACATTAAAATCAATAATTACTAATGAGTTATATACTAAATCAATAGCTTCTAGTGAGCACACAATAAATCTTCGAATAACATTACAATACTTACCCACCGGCTAGCATTGGCAAAGATCGAATAGACCCGTCTTCATCAGGATTTCCTAAATTATCGGAATCACCAATGATAACAGAGTTGGTTATCAACTGTCCTCCAGTACGCCATCTGTGGAAATGTGATGTAAACAACAAATATATAAATATATCTTCTAAAAGATGTAAATCGTATGTTGCAACTTAAAGGGCCCCGTGATAGACGAAAGTTCACTTGCAATAGACGATTTTTTTCGCTCCGATCATACAGAAAAAAATGAATATTTTTGTATTTATGAGTACCATTTCTGTAATGGAAAAAATTCCCATTTCTATCGATATGTGAATCACTATTTCGACAACATAGATACTTCACATTACACGTTATAAAACATGATTTCGTCAACATAATTGTTTCCCCTTGTACTCATTAACGTTGCATACCTAGATATACATTATGTTAGGGTAACCATTGATAATGTACACATTTTTGTACCAGTATTTCCACTTTACGCAAAGACTATGTAGTAGTGTATTGGGGAATAGTATAATTATTACAAACCTCAGTAACTGCACTCCATTTACAGCGTCAGCAACCCTAAAACCATTAAAAACAGTGTTATATCATCTGTAATATTACAATGTTTGTATTGTTATATGTAGTTTTAAATTGTTGTTATTGTCAATGTTTGTTTTAATATGAAGATTTGAATAGTTTTGGAGTGTCACTTGTATGAACACTGTTGTTTAATAATTGTATCAATATATTATGTATACATTAAAGTAGGGTATTTCAAAATATATTACGATACAGGGCTGAAAATGTTATTATTGCCATTTTATCAATAGAAAGGGTTAAGACGCGTTTAAACAATGATGTACTGCAATTATTATTTACTATGTGTATCATTATATAAGGTTATATGTTCATATTTCATACTGTTCATATAGTATATTGTAATACTTATGTTAATATTACATAAACGATATAAATGCTTTAGTCCTAGCTTATTTATGTATCAAATGCATGCAATAATTGCTGAATAGTAATTTATGTAAAACAGTATAGCCTGGTAATTACTTACGAAGATTGGGTGAGTTCGATTAACCCTCTCGTCATGACGTTGTAAAATCTATTCTTGTATGCTGTAAAAACAAAGCAGAGGGGTGAACCTGTTAGAAAGTACAGATCAAGCAAGCAAAAACCAGAGAAGATAGAAAACGTCCTATAAGGGGGTTTGTACTAAGTTTTAACCATTTGTTAATACATCTAGCGTTAAAGGCTTACAAACCTACGGTTGGTTTAAACTTTGTTTTATTCAAATTTTGTTTGACAATACATCGAAATACATGTTTTATAAACAGAACAGGAAACAAAAACAAGTGTCGTTTATATATCAATATACATATGATCATCAGATGGTAATATCATATTGCTCTATTGCAATGAGTATGTGGAACACGATTCTGTAAAATATAACTATGAAATAGTAGATGAAAATGTCAGCAGTCCAAGTTTCGGTAAATGCTAAAATACTATGCTCATAAAGTTCGGTGTACAGAACATCTAGTTTTGGACGCAGGATTTGTACGTTCAGGTGGACGAATGATAAGCAATTATGATTATGTGTAAAAGATACAGGTTAGCAGAAGGATGAAAGGGGCCTGGGTTAGTTTCTATATCGCCACAGCATAATAGTGACAAGACGATGAGTATGGAAATATACAGTATAAATTGAGCGATGATCGCCGTGAAATACGCTTTAAGTAATAACGTTTGGTTTCGACATGAAGTTGTGTGTTCGTTGCAAGTTTTACATACGCCTAACTGTCGAGCAAGGGAAAAAAATATGCCAATGGGCAAAAATGCATGATGGTTCCAAACAAGCACAATAAAAAGGAAGACTTCAAAAACATCATTCATTATATTTACAGATCGAGTTTGAACATAGCGTGGAATGTCATAAAACAGTCCTACTCTTACAGAAAAAATGTTATGACTTATTGACATTTAGATATATTTAGGCGATATCAAATGGGAACATCATCATCACAAGAGTAGGACCAATGTAAGACGAGCCAGCCTACGGTTGTATGGCAATCTAGATCAAGTGATAGTGTATTATACATCTAATATCAAATTGTTTACTGATTTTATTAAACAGGTTTTCAGTACGATGAAACTTTGTCAATAATGTTTTTCATCATATAATATATGTACATGCATCATAATGGGCAAATAAACATTTCTTTGCATTATGCTATTTAATTATATAAGGATAAAATCATATGTTTCATGGTACTAATATATATATATAAATGAAACAATGATACATCTCACCGCATCATTGTATGAAGCAATATAATAATATTGTTACTTATAGTATAGTGCTATAATTAAGCGTATTGTTACATTGGGCCAATGATGTATTTCACCGGACTATATTACTTATAGTACTTCGAAATACCGTATACACATGTATTACCTGTCAGTTTGACGATGTCGACCTTTTTGTTACCAGATGTTTCGTCGAGTGGGTCGTTCCATGGTTCGTATTTATTGTTCAGTATCCTTGTTCCGTTCTCATCCATAGAGTCGTCCAGCTTGAGTCCGACCTTAAGAATATAATGTTTGTAACTAAAGCTGATGGTATTCTGTTATCAATGTCTTTACTAACGTTCTTGTGAAGATGACTGTATCGTGTTGACTTTATCTAACAATTTTTTTTTCGAGATTAAGATAGTTTGAGTCTCCAAATACAAAACGATAAAACTTTAAATCAAGATATCGAAAAATATTATCTTCACAAACTAAAAATACTGGTGTTAAAATATAAAATTATCGTATTAAATGATAACTTATTTGAATCACGCCTATGTTAGCGAGTATTCAGTGCCATCTTATGAAGAAGTTTCAATGTGAGAACTGTGCTAACTGCACGCAAATGATTAGACAATTTATTACTAATTTCTTTCAACAATGCTAGCTACATGTTAATAATTAGATAATGTCTTACAACTTCTTTTCAACAATACTACATACATGTTAGTGTTTAGATAATTTCTTACAAATTTATTGGAATGTGCAACGTTGTTGTAGAACTTGGTAATAGCGGTGTGGCTAGCCTCCTCCGGTTCCATGTAACCCTTTCCCCGAGACGGTCCGAGCGGCTCAAACGGGAAAATGTACCAGATTCCGAAACCCTGCAAATTATAAATGATCATGTTAGTCGGCTTACAGGGATATCTTAGTTGTGTTCAGAAATACGAATTTTAAGCTGTGTAAGGCAATCCCCCTAACACTATAACCTACAAACACAAATAAACGGCAAAGGCTTTCACGCGCAGTGGTCTTCATAAGAAATTATTAAAATACAGAATTACATTCCTAATTTTAATATGTTTTGAAACTACTACGTAATCGCTCGCTTAACAATTAATCAACAAAGGTCTAACTCTATTCCGTTATGGAAATATAATGAACATCTAACGTACATCTCCACCAGCCGCTACATTGTTTTCCAAAGTGGTGAGTGGGTTGGTTATCCAAAATGTAGTCGGGAGGCTGTAACATAAAACAAAGTTTCAAAAGTTCAAACAAAAAAATCGCCATACACGAAGTACGCAATTAAGTTGTACACGATACAAATGTAACGATGACGTAGTGAACTGCTTTCAATTAAAATCAAAACATTTCTGAATCCTTGTCCCACTTTAGGCAAAACACTGGATAATTCCACTGAGGTATAACATACAGAGAGTAACCGCCCTTAACATTATTTTGGATATATCTGTGGTGCAACTGCAGGACCAGAGCACTACTGTTGACCAAGCAGCTCAGTTGGTGAGAGTGGTAGTCTAATAATCAGAGGTCCAGGGTTCGAATCCGTGTCTGGCTGGGTTATAATTTTATACTCATTCATTTTTATTCTTTTCATTAAAAGTACGGGTTTCTGATTTTTTAATGATTTATGCATGTATAATTATGCTCGGAAAAGAAATGTCCAAAGCATAATTACAGTTCTTGGCGGTGGAACGGGGACCCTTAATTATTCAATATTATGTTTAGAATGTGAAAATAAAATTCCTACTCGTCAGTGGGAATGAGTTGTCCCTTTGTTTGTCCAACACCGAGATTGCCTCTAAATATTGTTCCCTTTTCACCGCCATCTTCAAGGAAATATCCATGACCAATGCTCCTGTAGCAGACGTTGTCAGCAACCTAAAAATCCACAAAGTTAGTCATCAACATATCTCAGTTTTCCTACACACTTTGGAATTATGAATTATTTGTGTTTTAATAGACAATGTATTTGAATTATCATACCAATTTTATTTTCCATTTCCATAAATAGTTCTGCAGAAGTAGAAATGTTCATGGTGTGGAAATGCTAGCTTTTTATGCGTTTGGTAATTCAGCACGAAAATATTAATAATTATTTATAGATCAAACATATTACAGTTAAATAGATTATATATTAAAATTCAGAACCATTGTTAATTCAAAACAATTCCACACTATTGTCAGTTTTTAGTTACAACGCGAAAATTCCCAATTTATAATAATACATGAATAATATTTGTTTTATTTAAGTTTCATTATTTGGCGGTTGCTGTATTTTACTCTCGCTGAATAGAAAATAACAGAGTCAAAAGAATAAGATAGTTTCCATTACCGTCGTTCCATGCGTTGCATGGACTGTAACACATCTTGCATAGGAGTTATGTATGGCGTTTTCACGTGCATACGTAGGTACAGGGTATGTGGCTTGGTCGTCCACACCTTCACACATATGCCAATGAACCGGATAACTACCTACGAAAAGATAGGGGTGTTGTAAAAAATAAAGCTGAGACGAGATCCGTCAGCTTGGTATGAATAACATGTTGTTTTAAACATCAACAGGAACGGAAAACCTATTTTACCGAGTTTTCGAAATTGTGTGTTTCCTTTCCCAAAACATCGGTCATTTTTACCCTTCGCTTCAAAATAGACTTGGCAAAAATAAAAATAAAAGGATAGGAGTATTACACTACATTGATTTTCAATCACGTTTAGCAGATGCATACTTGATCAATTACACGAAATTCTAACTCTATGTCAATCTCAGTGTTCAAAGTTTATCGCCGTGGATGCATTTAAAGTTGTCGTGATAATTTTGTATGATTATTATTATCCGTTAGCATATTCATTTTATTTAAGGTGTATTAACATGCATGACATTTATTAATAATACTTGGAGTATAAAGATTGTAAAGCGCCGTTTTGAAAAATCTAGTTTGTCGATACGGAAAGCTAACCAAGTAAGCATTTTACTGCATAAATGGTCAATTTGTCCATTATCAGCTCATTACACATTTAAACATTTTGACTAGAAGTTTAACGCCCTATCAACAGCTTAGGTCATATAAAATATAAGAACGTGCTTCCTTATATTGTGTGTATGTGTGTTCGAGGCTTGAAGAGTATAATTGTGTCACAGTAAATACATATCAAAACTGTTCAATACATGTTATCAAATAAACAATGGGAATTACCATTAGGCTTTAATACAATGTTCCTTAGGTTTGCATCACAGTTATGTACTGATAACGGTGTTTTTTTTAATCCTTTCACCACTGTAGACCATAATGGACTCATCCAGATCAATGCATGGTCGAGTCTTCTTAAGTTACATAGGGTTGAAAAGTTTAAAGATATGTTTAATCGGTAACTTTACCTGTCAATGCTCACAGGCATAAATATACGTATATTTATATATATGTATTTATCTGAAGGGGGAGGTAACTTGGTGTACATTTTACAAGTTAACATATGATACGTTGGAGTTTTTAATTTTGTTTACCTTGTTTTTATATTTAGCAAACAGTATTTGTAGTTTCCATGGACAATTACTGTTACTTTATTGATACATGTAGCAACCACAACTGTCTACGCACAGTGTTACATAGATGTTAAACGAAGAAAGCTTAATAATAGCGTACATCAAATTCGGTAGGTTTTTCACAAACTTCGACTCACTTGGTAAAGAAAAACTCAATGTATTAGGTACCACATACGGTATTTGTCTTCCCCTATAGCGAGAACTTTAAATGAAAGGTGTGTAGCAATACCGCAACTGTGAAATCAAGAAGGACTGTATGTCGCTTGATGGTATTTCGCACAGAAGCATAAACACTAGTCAGGAATTCCTGAAACCTATAACAGCTAATGTACGATTTTTTATATCCTGTCAGTTTTACATTACCCTTAAATGAAAAAAATATATACAAACGCATACCTAGCTTGTTAGATTGTCCCATACGGCGAATTTCTGCTCCTTCGATGTGGAAGTTTTTAAATCCTTTCAAAACCTGCACAATAAGAAATATCACTTTGTCATATTCTTTTTTTGCCACCCTGAAAAATATATTTATATTCTGGATTATGATATTGGGCTAGTGGCTTTTCCTATAATGCATTGATCATATCATTTTTTGAGGGATTTTTTTCTCTGATGAAGGCATATTGACATTAAATCGAAATTCGTCATTGGTGATGTATTCAAACATAGGAAGTTCTGATTGTAAAAAGGTTCAAATAGCACAATCAGTGAGATAACAGTATCAAAGGGACGAATCGATTTGTTAAGTTGATCGTCATTGTTTACATTTATAACAAGTGTACATACGCTTATAGTGTAGCCGAATCGACGGCGATTGTATCGCCAACTCGTACAAATTTTACACATTAGTGTACACACATTTTTCCGGTTATTGGTCAAATAAAGGAGGCAGGATACTCACCGTAATGGTCATTAAAACGCCATGCATACTCATTTCAATGATGGTGTTATACGAATCGGAATACAGTCTTTACTTTCCGACCTGAAGAAAATGTTTGGAAACGAACGGATCAGCTCACCTTTATATGTCCGCCAAACTCATCGTCGGTGTTCTCCATGTCTCCTTCAAAGATGATGTTTCTACTGAGCAAGCCCACCTCTGCACGCATGTCCACGTTATTGGTGATTGCACCGTAGTGGTTGAATCTTGGTGACACTATCAACAGAGCAAGCAAAATATACCACAGCGTCATCGCACAAAATTCCAACTTAACATTCATGTGAAATATAACTATCAAGGTGAAGAATACACCAAATCAACGTAAAAAACTCATGGATCCATTAAAAAAAGTGGCTAATAGTTGGTGATCCTTTTTTTAATGACATTATATTGTTTACAATGATGAAAAGCATAGTCCAATACGTCTATAAGGAGCTATTGTTAAAAAAAAAAAATCTGGTATTAATATTGCTTAGCTAAATTAATTCTAAAATGAACAAGATAACTGAAAGGAAACGATACAACTAAAATAAAAAGCACGATGCATTAACAGTGTAAAAACTGCAACGGTGCCAGATGAAAATTTGAACCCTTGACCTCCAATCATATTACTGTCTAACTAACTAAACTAGCTGATTAACAGTAGCATACTAGCTTAGTTGCTCTACGGTTATATCCGAAACGAACTAAAGAATGAGGTAACTCCATGGTGGAAAATCTCCAGGAGAACTATCTAGGGCTTGGCCTACAGCGGAACAAGTATCCTTTATCAATGTAATATACTGAAAACATACAACTGGAAATGAATTCTGATTGTGATGATGACTTTCTTCAATGTCGATTTGAATTTCTCTTGTTGACAACCCTAATTTATTATTATTTTGATCGACAGGTCGCATCTTTCCAAAATGTCCATACACTAAGAACAGGAAGTTGTGTAGGTATTCAACGTTCTTTTGTATTCTTTGTTGAATTATATTATCATATATTTTATAATTGAGAACGTCACTGTTTAATTGTGTTATTATGAGTGGAGTGATTCTATACAAATATGTAGCAAAATAAACTTACAGTCGACTCTGACCTGATTGTAGGCACAATCTTTACACGGAAAAACGGTGCCCTCCTCAACCTGCTCCCAGTCATAGTCAGTAGATGTGATTATAACTTTATCACCTGAAAATAAACCACTTTATTAGAGTGACCTGGGGAGAATGCCTCAAAACACTTCAGACAGGTAAATATATAACATTCACTTAAACATCAACACAACACTTTATCAACTTTATCATTGCATCCTAAATTAGTTTTTTTAATACTCATAGTAGGAAAAATACTGAAAAGGGCTTTAATGCTTAAACCTTGCATCACGTGTCCTAGCGCTCTAGTTACATCTAAACTAGACAGGGATAGTTTTCAAGGACAGATTTAACCATAGATATATTTAACCATGGACATATTTAACCATGAATAGATTTAACCAAATATATATTTAACCATGGATATATTTAAACATGGATATATTTAACCATGGATATATTGAACCATGGTTATAATTAACCATGGATATAATTAACCATGTATATATTTAACCGAGGATATATTTAACCATGGATATAACCATGGAAATATTTAACTATGGGTATAATTAACCATGGATATAATTAACCATGGATATATTTAACCAAGGATATATTTAACCATGGGTATATTCAACCAATGTATTAACGAATGATATATTTAACCATGGATATATTTAACCAAGGATATATTTAACCACGGATATTTACCCATGGACATATTTAACCAAGGATATATTTAAACATGGATATATTTAACCTGGGATATATTTAACCAAGGATATATTTAACCATGGGTATATTTAACCAGGGATATATTTAACCATAGATATATTTAACCAAGGATATATTTAACCATTAGTATGTTTAACCAAGTATATATTTAATCGTGGGTATATTTAACCAAGGATATATTTAACCAAGTATATATTTAATCATGGGTATATTTAACCAAGGATATATTTAACCATGGGTATATTTAACCAAGGATATATTTAACCAAGGATATATTTAACCTAGGATATTTAACCATGGATATATTTAACCATTAGTATGTTTAACCAAGTATATATTTAATCGTGGGTATATTTAACCAAGGATATATTTAACCAAGTATATATTTAATCATGGGTATATTTAACCAAGGATATATTTAACCATGGGTATATTTAACCAAGGATATATTTAACCAAGGATATATTTAACCTAGGATATTTAACCATGGATATATTTAACCATTAGTATATTTAACCAAGTATATATTTAATCGTGGGTATATTTAACCAAGGATATATTTAACCAAGGATATATTTAACCAATGATATATTTAACCAAAGGATATTTAACCATGGACATATTTAACCGAGGATATATTTAACCATGGATATAACCATGGATATATTTAACTATGGGTATATTTAACCAAGTTTATATTTAACCATGGGTGTATTTAACCAATGTATTTAACGAATGATATATTTAACCATGGATATATTTAACCAAGGATATATTTAACCAAGGATATATTTAACCAAGGATATATTTAACCAAGGATATTTAACCATGGACATATGTAACCAAGGATATATTTAAACATGGATATATTTAACCTGGGATATATTTAACCAAGGATATATTTAACCAAGGGTATATTTAACCATGGGTATATTTAACCAAGGATATATTTAACCATTAGTATATTTAACCAAGTATATATTTAACCATGGATATATTTAACCATGGACATATTTAACCAAGGATATATTTAACCAAGGATATATTTAACCAAGGGTATATTTAACCAAGGATATATTTAACCAAGTATATATTTAATCGTGAGTATATTTAACCAAGGATATATTTAACCATGGGTATATTTAATCAAGGATATATTTAACCGTGAATATATTTTACCGTGGATATATTTAACGAATGATATATTTAACCATGGATATAATTAACCATGGATATATTTAGGATATAATTAACCTAACCATGGATACTATTAACCAAGGATATATCTAACCATGGGTATACTTAACCAATGTATTTAACCATGGATATATTTAACCATGGATATATTTAACCAAGGATATATTTAACCAAGGATATATTTAACCAAGGATATTTAACCATGGACATATTTAACCAAGGATATATTTAAACATGGATATATTTAACCTGGGATATATTTAACCAAGGATATATTTAACCAAGGGTATATTTAACCATGGGTATATTTAACCAGGGATATATTTAATCGTGGGTATATTTAACCATGGATATATTTAACCAAGTATATATTTAACCATGGATATAATTAACCAAGGATATATTTAACCATGGGTATATTTAACCAATGTATTTAACGAATGATATAATTAACCATGGATATATTTAACCAAGGATATATTTAACCAAGGACATATTTAACCAAGGATATTTAGCCATGGACATATTAAACCAAGGATATATTTAAACATGGATATATTTAACCTGGGATATATTTAACCTGGGATATATTTAACCAAGGGTATATTTAACCTGGGATATATTTAACCAAGGATATATTTAACCTTGGGTATATTTAACCATGGATATAATTAACCATGGATATATTTAACCAAGGATATATTTAACCATGTGTATATTCAACCAATGTATTTAACGAATGATATATTTAACCATGGATATATTTAACCAAGGATATATTTAACCAAGGATATATTTAACCAAGGATATTTAACCATGGACATATTTAACCAAGGATATATTTAAACATGGATATATTTAACCTGGGATATATTTAACCAAGGATATATTTAACCAAGGGTATATTTAACCATGGGTATATTTAACCAGGGATATATTTAATCGTGGGTATATTTAACCATGGATATATTTAACCAAGTATATATTTAACCATGGATATAATTAACCAAGGATATATTTAACCATGGGTATATTTAACCAATGTATTTAACGAATGATATATTTAACCATGGATATATTTAACCAAGGATATATTTAACCAAGGATATATTTAACCAAGGATATTTATCCATGGACATATTTAACCAAGGATATATTTAAACATGGATATATTTAACCTGGGATATATTTAACCAAGGATATATTTAACCAAGGGTATATTTAACCATGGGTATATTTAACCAGGGATATATTTAATCGTGGGTATATTTGACCATGGATATATTTAACCAAGTATATATTTAACCATGGATATAATTAACCATGGGTATATTTAACCATGGGTATATTTAACCAATGTATTTAACGAATGATATATTTAACCATGGATATATTTAACCAAGGATATATTTAACCAAGGATATATTTAACCAAGGATATTTATCCATGGACATATTTAACCAAGGATATATTTAAACATGGATATATTTAACCTGGGATATATTTAACCTGGGATATATTTAACCAAGGGTATATTTAACCAAGGATATATTTAACCAAGGATATATTTAACCTTGGGTATATTTAACCAGGGATATATTTAACCAACGGTATATTTAACCATGGGTATATTTAACCAGGGATATATTTAACCAAGGTTATATTTAACCATACCTATATTTAACCAAGGATATATTTAACCATTAGTATATTTAACCAAGTATATATTCAATCGTGGGTATATTTAACCAGGGATATATTTAACCAAGTATATATTTAATCATGGGTATATTTAACAAAGGATATATTTAACCATGGGTATATTTAACCAGGGATATATTTAACTAAGGATATATTTAACCATGGATATATTTAACCAATGATATATTTAACCATGGGTATATTTAACCAAGGATATATTTAACCGTTGATATATTTAACCGTGGATATATTTAACCATTGATATATTTAACCATGGGTATATTTAACCGTGGATCTATTTAACCAAGGATATATTTAACCAAGGATATATTTAACCGTGGATATATTTAACCAAGGATATATTTAACCAAGGATATATTCAACCATGGATATATTTAACTAGCATTGGTAACATCTTAACCTTACTGGTCTAGATCACTTGGACATATTAATCCATCAACACCTCATTTGGTAAATATAAAATGGAGGATATACGCCGCTCTCGCAACCTCTTAACTGTTAAGGAATGTGACACAATGTTGTCATGATCATTATGTGCACCAAGCTGTACTTTAATTTGTGTTTTGCCAATTTAAATAACATGAATTACACATATAACATTGAATGACCTATATAATATTGAATTACATATATAACATTGAATTACCTATATAATATTATATTACATATATAATATTGAATTACCTATATAACATTAAATTACATTGTACATATGTTATATTGAATTGCATATGTAGCATTGAATTACATATCTAATATTTGTAAACAACACGACAAATCTCATATTATATACATATAAACTAAAATATATCACTATACACTACTATCATAAACTAACATACATAAAGCAGTTATTTGTTATCAATATGAAACAACAAACAGTTTGCTTTGATAAAAGGTCAACGTTCATAGTCGCTTATAGCAATTATAAAAGGGACTTGCTAATACCTTCTTGCCAGGAAGTGACGTTATCAGAGACGGTGATTATAGGGATGGATTGATCTGTATACGTCACTTCAAATATCGCAGTAGATGCTCCGAACCCCAGGGATCTGGTGTAGCTCTCGACGAAGAACTTAATACCCTTGTCGTCAGACAGCATTGTGGCTGAGGATGTCTGATGAATACCGCCAACCTTGTAAGGTTCGAAACTTTCGATGGTCTTTGAGTAATCACCTGAAATTGATAAATCAATTTATTTATTTTTAAAACGGAAAACCTTACTTTCCATAACATTTACATATTTCCGGTTGTTTAAATGTTGGTCGATTTTAACCATTTTTATTGAAACAAAGAAGAATCGGTTTTCAACGCGAAGGTTATCATTTGCATATAACAATGTCTTCGGTCTCATATAACCTTAAGCAGTGAAATGATATCAGATATTCTTGGTTCACTACCAACTGGTTCACGTTAACTAAGCAATGAACAACAGGGTTTCGTAATCAATAATGTTTAAAGGATTAATCAATTTAACTCATTCACCCTTGAAGACACATTTGAACTCATCCAATTCAAAGGTTGGAATAGTTCATTGTGAAAAATCAGGGGTGCTTGATTTAATGTAAGTAAGCTACGTACAACAAAGAGTTTATAGCTTATTATGATACATGTATGCCTACTTCTTCACCTGTCGCTGCATACATATTACATACGGTACATACTGGCTGAATCACGGTGTTCATGTAAATATGTAATACTGTTTCAAAACCTTCACAGTTGTGCGATGCGCAACATTAAAAATATGTAATATGACTATATTTGGCAATTATTTTGTCTAATTTCAAAATAACTACATCTGTTTGCTGTTTCTTTGTGTTATATGAAGGTTGATGTTTTTGATATGCTCATCTGCGTGTCTTGTGGTTTTGATGTAGATTACCAACTTCTTGAGGTCATGACATAACTTGGATTCGGAACACTCGGTCTTATTATTCTTGTACCTTTTCGAAGGTTTCCATTAAAAACCGTTAAGTGTTCATATTCTGCTATAGTTTTAATGGTTTTGATATCTAATCCGGGTTTTGTTCATGCTTTGTATTGTTGTTTTAATAGATAAAAAGTAATGACCAAACTGAAACTGGATATCGTTCTGGGTTGTTTGCATGTTTGAGTACATATGGACACGAACAAAATATTCAAAACTTACCTTTAACCACGATCATAGCGAAACTATCGTAAAAGACGAGATCTCGGATTTTGCTGGAATTTGTGACCTTTCCATATCCCAAAATCTCAACAGCATTATAAAACAGACTTCTGTCAAAAGCATTTTCTCTGTCAACGATGAATTTTCGAACCGCAAGCATTATTACGTTTCCATTCGGTATATCTGAAGAAAATAAATGCTGAATGTTACCAAAAAGAGAATCAGACTCAAGCCTCCGATGATACAAAACAAAATAACGTAATAATAACAAATGATTCCATATCAAAGGTTACAGAATGTGCTTTAATAAAAAAGTGATCGAGCAAACAGTAATTCTAATATCTACGCTTTGTCTATTATTTTACATTAAATAAGTTCAAAGTCATAGTTGAATTGATATAGCATGGCTACTTTCAACTACATGTACATAAACAGTTGTCAATGTATAACAGGTACGTTTACTCTAGACTAATAATCCGTTCATTGTATACTTGCATTGTATGACCGGTACATGAACTAAATACTGATACCGTAACATGTTATACTTAATGTTGATAGCCAGTACGTGTACTATATAAAGACTGACATTATCAAACCGGTAAGAGCATTTATAGTGACTTTGTATAACTATAGACTGATAGTGTTATACCGGTACATACATTATATAATTTGTATTATCGGTACGTGCACTATAAATTCGTAGTAGTATATCGGTACGTACATTATATAATTTGTATTATCGAGCACTATAAATTCGTAGTAGTATATCGGTACGTACATTTTATACTGGCTTTGTATTAACAGTACGTGAACTACAGACTCGTATTATTATACCGGTACATACTGACATTGTATTACCGGTACATACTGACATTGTATTACCGGTACATACTAACATTGTATTACCGGTACATACTGACATTGTATTACCGGTACATACTGACATTGTATTACCGGTACTAAAAGTAAGACTAATAGTGTTACATCGTTTCACTGGTACATACATTGTATAATTTGTGCTACATGTACGAGCATTTTATACTTTCTTTCCGCATGTATTACCGGTACGTGCACTTTAGCCTGACAGTAATATACCGATAGGTTGATTGTATACTTTCTTTGTATTTTCGGTACGTGCACTAGAGCCTCATTGTTATATACTGGTATGTGCATCGTATACTTTTAGTGTATTACCGGTTCGTGCACTATAGCCTGATAGTAATATACGGGTAGATGCACTATATACTTTCAGTGTATTACCGGTACATACATATTGTACACTTTGTATTACCGGTACATACATATTGTACACTTTGTATAACCGGTACATAAATTGTACACTTTATATTACCGGTACATACATTGTACACTTTGTATGACCGGTATATACATTGTACACTGTATAACCAGTGCATACATTGTACACTGTGTATTACCGGTAAATACATTGTACCCTTTGTATTACCGGTACATACATATTGGACACTTTGTATAACCGGTACATAAATTGTAAACTTTATATTACCGGTACATACATTGTATACTTTGTATTACCGGTACATACATATTGTACGCTTTGTATTACCGGTACATACATATTGTACACTTTATATTACCGGTACAAACATTGTACACTTTGTATTACCGGTATATACATTGTACACTGTATAACCAGTGCATACATTGTACACTGTGTATTACAGGTACATACATTGTACACTTTGTATGACCGGTATATACATTGTACACTGTATAACCGGTGCATACATTGTACACGGTGTATTACAGGTACATACATTGTACACTTTGTATGACCGGTATATACATTGTACACTGTATAACCAGTGCATACATTGTACACTGTGTATTACAGGTACATTCATTGTACACTTTGTATAACCGGTGCATACATTGTACACGGTGTATTACAGGTACATACATTGTACACTTTGTATTATCGGTACATACATTGTACATGGTGTATTACCGGTACATAAATTGTACATGGTGTATTACCGGTACATAAATTGTACATGGTGTATTACCGGTACATACATTGTACGCTTTGTATTACCGGTACATACATATTGTACACTTTATATTACAGGAACATACATTGTACACTTTATATTACCGGTACAAACATTGTACACTTTGTATTACCGGAACATACATATTGTACACTTTGTATTACCGGTACACACATTGTACGTACATACATTGTACACTGTGTATTACTGGTACATACATTGTACACTGTGTATTACAGGTACATACATTGTACACTTTGTATGACCGGTATATACATTGTACACTGTATAACCGGTGCATACATTGTAAACTGCGTATTACCGGTATATACATTGTACACTTTGTATAACCGGTACATACATTGTACACTTTGTATGACCGGTATATACATTGTACACTGTATAACCGGTGCATACATTGTAAACTGCGTATTACCGGTATATACATTGTACACTTTTTATAACCGGTGCATACATTGTACACGGTGTATTACAGGTACATACATTGTACACTTTGTATAAGCGGTACATACATTGTACACTTTGTAAAACCGGTACATACATTGTACACTTTGTATGACCGGTATATACATTGTACACTGTATAACCAGTGCATACATTGTACACTGTGTATTACAGGTACATACATTGTACACTTTGTATTCCCGGTACATACATTGTACACTTTGTAAAACCGGTACATACATTGTACACTTTGTAAAACCGGTACATACATTGTACACTTTGTAAAACCGGTACATACATTGTACACTTTGTATGACCGGTATATACATTGTACACTGTATAACCAGTGCATACATTGTACACTGTGTATTACAGGTACATTCATTGTACACTTTGTATAACCGGTGCATACATTGTACACGGTGTATTACAGGTACATACATTGTACACTTTGTATAAGCGGTACATACATTGTACACTTTGTATAACCGGTATATACATTGTACACTTTGTATTACTGTATTACCGGTACATACATTGTACATTTTATATTACCGGTACATACATTGTATACTTTGTATTACCGGTACATACATTGTACGCTTTGTATTACCGGTACATACATATTGTACGCTTTGTATTACCGGTACATACATATTGTACGCTTTGTATTACCGGTACATACATATTGTACGCTTTGTATTACCGGTACATACATATTGTACACTTTGTATAACCGGTACATACATTGTACACTTTGTATTACCGGTATATACATTGTACACTGTATAACCGGTGCATACATTGTACACTGTGTATTACCGGTATATACATTGTACACTTTGTATAACCGGTGCATACATTGTACACTGTGTATTACAGGTACATACATTGTACACTTTGTATAACCGGTACATACATTGTACACTTTGTATTACCAGTACATACATTGTACACTTTGTATAACCGGTACGTATACGCGCACTAGAGCCTCATAGTAATATACGAGGAGGTGAATTGTATACGTTAAGTGTTTAACCGGTACATACATTGTACACTTTGTATTACCGGTACATACATGGTACACTTTGTATAACCGGTACGTATACGCGCACTAGAGCCTCATAGTAATATACGAGGAGGTGAATTTTATACGTTAAGTGTATTACCGGTACATACATTGTACACTCTGTATAACCGGTACATACATTGTACACGGTGTATTACCGGTACATACATTGTACACGGTGTATTACCGGTACATACATTGTACACGGTGTATTACCGGAACATACATTGTACACTTTGTATTACCGGTACATACATTGTACACTTTTTATTACGGGTACATACATTGTACACTTTGTATTACTGGTACATGCATTGTACACTTTGTATAACCGGTACATACATTGTACACGGTGTATTACCGGAACATACATTGTACACGGTGTATTACCGGTACATACATTGTACGCGGTGTATTACCGGTTCATACATTGTACACTTTGTATTACGGGTACATACATTGTACACTGTGTATTACTGGTACATACATTGTACACTTTGTATAACCGGTACATACATTGTACACGGTGTATTACCGGAACATACATTGTACACGGTGTATTACCGGTACATACATTGTACACTTTGTATTACCGGTACATACATTCTACACTTTGTATTACCGGTACATACATTGTACACTTTGTATTACGGGTACATACATTGTACACTTTGTATTATCGGTACATACATTGTACACTTTGTATTACCGGTACATACATTGTACACTTTGTATTACTGGTACATACATTGTACACTTTGTATTACTGGTACATACATTGTACACTTTGTATTACTGGTACATACATTGTACACTTTGTATTACTGGTACATACATTGTACACTTTGTATTACTGGTACATACATTGTACACTTTGTATTACTGGTACATACATTGTACACTTTGTATTACTGGTACATACATTGTACACTTTGTATTACTGGTACATACATTGTACACTGTGTATAACTGGTACATACATTGTACACTTTGTATTACCGGTACATACACATTGTACACTTTGTATTATCGGTACAAACATTGTACACTGTGTATTACCGGTAAATACATTGTACACTTTGTATTACCGGTACACACATTGTACACTTTGTATTACCGGTACATACATTGTACACTTTGTATTATCGGTACATACATTGTACACTTTGTATAACTGGTACATACATTGTACACTTTGTATAACCGGTACATACATTGTAAACTTTGTATAACTGGTACATACATTGTACATTTTGTATAACCGGTACATACATTGTACACTTTGTATAACCGGTAAATACATTGTACACTTTGTATTATCCTTTGTATTATCGGTACATACATTGTACACTTTGTATTACCGGTACATACATTGTACACTTTGTATAACCGGTACGTATACGTGCACTAGAGCCTCATAGTTATATACTGGTATGTGCATCGCATACTTTTAGTGTATTACCGGTACGTGCGCTAGAGCCTTGAAGTAATTTATGAGAGGTGCACTATATACTTTCAGTGCATTACCCGTACATCAATATACACGTTGTATAACCGGTACGTGCGTTAGAGCTTGAAGTAATTTACGAGCAGGTGCACTATATACTTTCAGTGTATTACCGGTACGTGCTTTATAGACTTAAAGCTATATACTAGTAGATGCATGTTATGCTTTCAGTGCATTAACGGTACATACAATGTACATTGTACACATTGTAATACTGGTACGTGCACTAGAGCCTCAAAGGTATATACTGGGAGGTATATCGTATACTTTCATTGTTTACCATTAACATATTTGGTAAAGTTGGCGGTTTCCTTTTCAATCGCTTTTTGATGACTCCTGCCGATCATAAACTCTCCACGTGGTCGATCGCTCATCCCGGTCAGAGGGTTGTAGGAATTCACCATGAAACCTTTCACGTCTCCTTCTCTTGTTACCTTTATTAAAATTTAATACAATTTTGAAATGTTGACATAATCTAAAATAATTTTTATTTGTTAATATAATGTAATATGATTTTTTTGGTTTTTTTCATATCATTAAATATAATTTTGATTTGTAAATACAATTTAATATAATTTCTATCCGTTCATATTTTTTCATATTATCTGTATGCTACATTTTAATAAGAAAAAAAATGTAAATGTAATTTAATGTAACGTTTTCTGTGTTTATATTATTAGTTATACAGGTCTTTGGCAGGGTACATGGTCTCATGTACATGAGACCATGTACCCTGCCAAAGACCTGTATAACTAATAATATAAACACAGAAAACGTTACATTAAATTACATTTACATTTTTTTTCTTATTAAAATGTAGCATACAGATAATATGAAAAAATATGAACGGATAGAAATTATATTAAATTGTATTTACAAATCAAAATTATATTTAATGATATGAAAAAAACCAAAAAAATCATATTACATTATATTAACAAATAAAAATTATTTTAGATTATGTCAACATTTCAAAATTGTATTAAATTTTAATAAAGGTAACAAGAGAAGGAGACGTGAAAGGTTTCATGGTGAATTCCTACAACCCTCTGACCGGGATGAGCGATCGACCACGTGGAGAGTTTATGATCGGCAGGAGTCATCAAAAAGCGATTGAAAAGGAAACCGCCAACTTTACCAAATATGTTAATGGTAAACAATGAAAGTATACGATATACCTCCCAGTATATACCTTTGAGGCTCTAGTGCACGTACCAGTATTACAATGTGTACAATGTACATTGTATGNGACCTGTATAACTAATAATATACTTATTATAAGTTAAAATACTCAAAAAAAATACAAAATCGAGAATTCGATAAAAACTGATACCAATTTAAATACAGAAATGTACAACAGAATATGTAAAAAAAAGAGTCCACTGAAACTGGTAAGAGTAATCAAACACAAGTTATGAATATCAATGCTGTAGTTTTAAATAGTAATCATTTTCAAAATGTTGTCTAAGTGAAGCTTGTTAATAGTAAGAAAGTTCAAAAGGACTTTTAGATATATCAAAGACGATCTTACCGCATCGTGGGAGGCGAAGGCAGCGTCAGTCAATTTCTGGACAGGACTTGTAAGCTTTGACCATGAAAGCTTTTTTTGTCCGTGAACCTCAAGCGTGCCGTTCTTGTTCACGCCAAGGAATTTCTGGCCGAATCCGGGCACAGAGTAAGTGTCGTTGACGGACCCTACCAAATACAAAGAGAGGTCAACAGAATGGGCACAGATTACATTATAAATAACTGATTTTAGAAAAACGTTTTTCTCTGTAATTATTTCAAAATGTTACAATGTGTTAAAAGTTATTGATTGCAAGAATATTTGAAATTTGAATCAACATAAATAAATGAAATATATGAAATGAAATGAAATTGTAACATTTTGTGATATTATACATTTTGTCAAGGATTCAACATTAAAAATATTCACATAAGTATTTAACGTTGCTTGATATTGTAGAAAAAAATACATGAAAATCGGAAGAAAAAATTCAAATAATCAAAGTAAATAGTTATGGTGAATGGAAGGTAGTCCACCTACACTTTGAGGGCATTTCTATGTAAGAGTGTTTGAACCCTGAGCTCTTCAACCCTGGCAACTCCTACCTTTTCAAATATATTTACATGAATATATCACATTGACATATGTATATCACAACTATTACCGGGTATAGAAAGAATTCAAAGCATGACACAGTTTCGTTCGATAAAGTCTCCATTAAATACCTAGTAGTTGAATTGTAGCTTTTCCTTCGTAAAGACAATCTGCAGATCCGATGTCCATCCGTCCACCTTTTATCTCAATGTATTTCGTTCTAAGGGTTAGGTCACTGTTTGGTAAAAACACCAGTCGCCCTCCGGTGACTATGGTTACGCTGCCGAGATCGATCCCGGGACTTGCATCCAATGCTATCAAAGAGTTAATGATGACGTCATCGCCTTCTACGGGAACCTATTTTTTTACAAAATGAACTTGTTATATTAAGATAACAGCAACACATTTTTTGTTTATTGTAATCTGTTAATACGTATTAAGCTAAAAGTAACAGATATTCCACCAACCTGACACCGCCCCGTGTACAGAAAAAAAAATTGATAGATAAGTATAAAGAGAACAAAAGTACTATACGTATATATATATATTCAATAATAATGATATGACTGTTAATATTTAAGGGATTGTTTTCCTTTTCAAAAAATATGAAAATTCTTCCAAATCAAGCAGACTATCTTCATGGTAGAAATTTATCAGAAAAATTTGGACATATTAGTTAAAAAGATATCAAAATTGACATAGTACAAAATTGCGTAATATACATAGCGTATGAGTAAAGACGTTAATATAGATCAATTATACTGGTATTGAGGGGTACAGATACAGCAATGATAAAGACAAAATAAAGATATACTGTATTGGTTGTAAGGGTCAAACAATAACTTTAAATATATACTGTATTAATATAGCAACAGCTGATTTGATAGTGTGTGTAGCAACACTTGATTCGCTGTTGCCAACGTACTTATAAAGATACAGTTCTGTCTCTTCACAAATCTTCAAGAATAAATTATTAAATAGAAATAGTTACTTTATGTATACGTACCCCGTTTGGCCATGATGTAGCTTCGGACCATTTTTTCAGACCAGCGTCTTTATCTGGACAAGCTGCACGAGACACTAAAACATATAAGGACAATACTAGGAGTCGCCCTAGGAGCGCCATTCTGTGTGTCGTACAGTGTATCTGTACGAGAGTGGTCAGTCAAGGTATCACCGCGAGATGAGTCGAAAGTGGTCAGTTCTATATGGTCAGTTGCATTTTATACGGTGTCCGTTAAGCTTGATAAACGCTGGATTATCTTGATTTTGTTATTTTGATGTGTATTGTTTATGTATTGCTTCATTCTATTATCCTACAGACACGATTCGTATTCGGCGTTATAATGTACCTTCAGGTAAATACACAACGACGAAATATCAGTGACGTTCGTACCGGTGCTTGATATGTTGTGCTGGTCACTCTCTGGTCACTTTGCCTAGGGGAATAATGCATTAGATTGTTATTGGCGTAAGACAATACGCCGACGATAAGTTCGTACGTCTAGCTGCTAGCTAAAGAAGTGGGGTTTGTTGTTGTAGAAGATCGGAATACATGGTCGTAAAACTGGATTAACGGATCGATAAACAAGATTTTATGAAAGTGTTTACTATAATTTTACGGACATTGACGCACTTCTCACGATTAAAAACCATCCAAGCGTAATCGTTTATTTCACAATGAAAACAGATCAAATAAACGAACCGTAACGAATTCAAAAGTTTAAGTAAATCTTGATTTGTGCTGATAGAGATCGTTTTGATAAGTTATGACAATCTACAACAATCTACATTGTATACATTAAATACCATATCTCTACTGAAAATATACATTAAAAGAAATAGAGTCAATAGCAGAGAGAGTGGAAAGGAGAGAGAGGGGAGGAGGGAGAGAGAGGGGGAGGGAGAG